GTCCTGTGGACCAGTCTAAGGACAAGGCCAGGCGCTGCGCACCTAGATCAACCCTGAAGCATGGCTCCAACATGCAGCTGTTCTTCTACTGGAAAGAAAAGAAATGGGTTAAGAAGGGGAAGGCACAAGGTGGACAATGTGTACTGCTTACATCTATGCCAGGTGTTTTTCAGAGACAGACATACTAGAGACCCACGTCAAGAAGAGGTGAAAAATCCCATAGCAATGTACAATTGTTCAGTACTAGCAGAAGGACAAACTTTATGCATACACAGCATCCCCACCACTCTGCTTCCCATCTCCTACTGAACCCCCCTTAACATTTTCCTTTCCTCAGAAAGCAATAAGTGCAGAACTGGAGATCTGACAGTTGAATTCCCTTATTGTCCAGTTGGGTTTTCCCCTTTTTGCACTGAAGGAACGGCTCTCTCCATCAGACTCTTCTCACCGATTGAAAGAAACCCCTCTCCAAAACTGTTCCCTACTTTTACCAACTTTGCACCTTCTGCTGTGTTTACCAATAACTCCATACTTATTCTCAAAGTTCACAAAACTTGCTGCTCCCCCACATCTTTCACCTCCCACACCCTGCGGGCACGCAGGGCCCAGACAGTCTTTTCAGTGCCATAAACAAGTTTGTGGAATTTATGAGGAACATTAACAGAAGACAAAACAAGTGTTAAAAAAAAAAAAAAAAAAAAAAAAAAGCTAAGTACACTGAGAAAGCCATGGAAACCATACTCCTTCCCTGCAGAGTCTCTGAGCATTGCAAATAAAGCTAGAATGTAAACGTGGTGAGAATAACTTTGACATCAGCAGGCGTTACAGCCACCCACCTCGCTGCCAGTCAGGTGGCAGAACTCCACAGCACCCATCGAGTTTGCAATGCCAACCATGGGATGTTCTGCAACTGGAATGTGGCACCTGAAAGATCCAGCAGTTAAAAAAGTCTTGAATGTATACGTGTCTTGAGTTTAAGGAGAAAAGCAATAGCTTTTATTCTAGGGTACAGAAGGAAAGGGCACTTGATTAAAAAATCTCATGATTTTTTCTAAGATCTAAGGTCTTCTAAGTGTTTTCTAGATCCCATAAACCTGCACCAAGGGTAAAATATTATACATTAGGGGAATCTATGATGTATTATGATATAAAGAGATGGAACATTTTCTTGTGAGGACAGGCTGAGAGCTGAGGCTGTGCAGCCCAGAGAAGTGAAGGCAGAGCTGAGAGCTGCATGTCAGTATCTAAAGGGCTGTGAGAAGGGAGGGGACAGACTCTATAGCAGGGGCACAAGGGGAAATGGTTTCCAACAAAAAGAGGGGAGATTTTGACTGGACAAGTCAAAGCAAGGAAGGGAAAAGTTTTTTACGCTCAGGGCAGTGAGGCACTGCACAGGTTGCACAGAGGTGGTGATGCCCCATCCCTGCAGACAGCCAAGGTCAGGCTGTTGGGGCTGTGAGCATTGCTGGAGCTGTGGGTGTCCCTGTGCACTGCAGGGATTGGGACCAGGTGACCTTTAAGCATCTCTTCCAACAAAAACGATCGTATGATAAACAAACGATGTCTGCAGTCACTGCTCAGCTGCTCATAAGCACGCAGGAGAACGCAGTGCAGGGCACAATTTGCTCACTGGTGGATGCTTCCCTCTGAGAAGTCAGGGACAATTTAGCTGTAAGCAGTCAGCCCTACCAACGGCAGAAGGCACCGAGAGCAGCAGAACGCGGCGAGCCCTCCAGCCCCCATAGCCCAGCGTTACCATTTGATGTCCAGGATCGCAGCGGTGTCAATCCTCTGGATCTCAGTCAGCGGGATGCAGGGCTGCTCCTCGTTGTAGTGGTACAGGTAGAGGCGTCCCGTCCTGTCGCAGGCCTCGCGGCTCCCTCCGCAGTCAGTCTACACCAGAGATCAGGAAGAAAAGCCCACGTTTAGCGGCGCTCCGGACACCCCCCGCCTTGGGCATCGCGGGGGGCTGTTCCTCACGGCGGGTCAGCGCAGCTCCGCCAGAGGAACCCGCGGGGACCCGCAGCCCCGAGGAGGGGGAAGAGCCCCGGGAGGTGCGAGGCGGCCTCACCGCGGCGGGCGGGCGGAGGTGGTACGTGCCGCAGGCCAGGATGCTGTGCCAGCCCTCCACCGGGCACCACTCCACCGCGTCGGCGCTGAACTCCGTGTCCACCACCTGCAGCGTCCGCGTCCGGCACGGGGCCGCCATCTCAGACCGCGCTCATAACCGCGCGGGGCGGCCCCGGGCTGCCCGCAGCTCCGCGCCGGGGCGGGGCGAGGCGGAGGCTCCGACCGCTTCCTGTCGGCGGGGCGGGGCGGGGCGGGCGGCACAGCGCGGAGCCCCCGCCTTCCTCAGCCAGGCCCGCGCGCGGCCCTCGGCTCCCGCCGCGCACAGCGCGATGTTCCCGCCCTGCGCCTCCCGCAGTTCTTCACACAGCCCTTGGCGCGCTTACTGTCACCCTGAATGACCTCACTGGGTGCCTTCTCCATTCACTATTTTTTCACAATTATCTATTAATTTTTTAACCATTTTCGCACCTCCCTTTAGTTTTCCCTGTGACCCTCCTGCTGTCCCACAGCAGCCATTTGCCTTTGCTGTGAGCCAAGGTGGTTGCTGGTGCTGCGGTGCAATCCCAAGCCACGTCCCCTCAGCCTGCTGATGCCATGACTGCAACCCTGGTCCAGTCACCGGGACTTCCCTACACAGAACACGCTGATTCCTCACCAACATTCAGCCCTTGATGCTGCATTGTAGCATCCCCACGTTTGCTTAGGGGAAGCACCGCTCGTACCTGGCTGTGTTCTGCCACATCTGCCCCACATCTCGTTTCAGAAGCAGTTTTCATGCTGGTACCACAGAGAAGTTGCACATCCCAGCTGCTGGCTCTGCTCATTCCTTTGCCAGCTCCTTCAGGGCAGTAGGTGGGACTGTCTGGGCCTGGCACTCCATTGCTGCTGCTTGGTTCTGAACTTTAATCACTCCTAGAAGCATTTTGGTTTTAGACATAGCTCTGCATGTGGAAGCATTCCTGTGTGAGCTCCCCAGTCCTCTCACAGTGAACACAGATGTAAACAATTCACTCGGTTCTGCCTGCTGGGATCTTATCTCCAGGTCAGATCTTCCCTTCACTGCACATCGTGTCTGCTGACTCTGGCAGTCTCTCCGCTCCTGATGGGTTTTAAAATCACTTGTCTGAGTTTTATGATTTGAGCATTCCTCAAATTCCATTTTCCTTTGTATTATCCCCTCCCCTGTATCCTCCCCCGCCCCCCCCCCACCCATCTTTAAAAACAGCAAATCCTAATATTTCCTACTTCTGCTTTTGGACACAGTTTAGTTCATAAAGGATTTCTTCATCCTGTAGGAGCATCACTCAGTGCTGTTTACTCACACCAGCCTCCTTGTCCCTCTCAAGCCTGTTGATGACAAACAATTGCTCCCAGCCCCAGTGCAGTGTCTCACATCCCCCACAAGCATTCAGGGCTTTGAGCTGCCCCTTTTACCTCCACCATTTTCAGTCAGAAGTCATCATCACAGAGCAAAAGAATATAAACCTATGTTTATATTGAATGTTAAAAGGCTCAAATCTCAGGTGAATACCGTGCCCTGCAGTGCATTATTTCAGACTTTGTGTTCCTTATGCCAGCCACAGCTTTTATCTGAACTGTGGGATAGGTACTACCACACCACCAGGATGTGAAGGAAAATACCTGGGCGTAAATGATATTTCATGGCATGCTGACATGTACACACCGCCATGCTGTGGTTATCAGCAGCTCATGGCAGGAGCCTGCAGAGGTGGATTTGCCCCTTTACAGCTGGGATGAAAGCCTCTCTCCAGGCTTTCCCAGGGTCCTATGGGGTGCTCCCAGAACTGGCAACCACCAGAGGCATCCATTCATTCCTGGGACCTGAAGGAGACCAGCACGACCCAGTAGCAGCATCCCTGGGCACCCCGTGGGCTGGGCAGAACACTGCGTGCATCCAGCAGGGAACAGCCATGTGACAGCAACACAGCCCATGGCAAGGGCAAGGTAGCAGGACTGCGTGGGCCTGGGCCACTGCCTTCTGCTGCCAAAGACTGCAACAATCAGATCCTCCAGCAACCTGGCAGGCATCATCGCTCAAAGACATTGGGGTCCTCACAGCCACTTCTCTCCTCAGGCACACAGGATTTGGAGTCAACAGCTGCACACTAAGATTAGTAGCTGTCTTACTTCATCATTAATTGATGAAGAGACTTGTAACAGACCTCCTAAGCCAATGGTCACCTTTCACCACCCCAGGCACCCACCATCCTATTTTTGTTCCCTTTAGCACTTCACCTCTCCTTTATCTGCTGCTCAAGAGATATCTGCCCTTTGCCTCCTCATTAGCCCCTCATTTGCAGTTTGTCTATTTCTCCTACAGATGAGCCATGACCACTTTCTCTGCTCAGTGCTGCAGTTTAAATGCTCTAACACTGTACTTTGCTCATCACAATTAGTGGTAGTACAATTGAGAACTGGCAGGAGCAACACCAGCCCTCTAGAAGAGCAAGAAGGAGACAATATTTCTGCCCTTCTCAGATTATTACCTTGGGTAAAAAAATATATGTATTCCTTACATTCCATTTTATATTTAAAAACTTACAATTCATTTAAAGCAATTAAGGGAAGTTTGTACAGGTCCTGCTCAACCTCTTTGTACCTAAGAGCACTTCAGGCAGCCTGAACAGAAAAGCTGAGGTATAACCATGAATAGAGAGTAGCACTTCCAAAATGTGCCTGCCAAGAGAGCTTCCAGCGGGAAGCTTTATAAGTTGTTATTCACTATGATGCCTGAAGTACAAAAACCCACCCAAGCAGTAATAATTAAGAACTAACTGAGCAGATATTAGAAACATAATATAATATCGGTGTCCACAGCAGGCTGTTGTCTGACAGATTGAGTACAAGTGAGACCAACATTCCAACAAGAAGTGGCAAAGTGAATTCTGATTCAAAAATGAATTTGACAGTTTTCATGTTTAAAAAAAAAAATCTATTTCAAGAAGCATTCAGAGAAAGGCTCTGCTTTCAGAATTCAGCAACTCACATTTTTTTTTAGCTGCGAAGCAAGACTAACACCTGGTACTAAATCATGTAGTTCTTCAGGAAACTCAGCGATACACCTTTAAGGCAAAAGTGAGAAAGAAAAAAACTTTCAAGTTATACATGAGAAAACACCTGAAAACAAACAGGCACGTACTCTGCACGTCAAATCCTTATTACTAAATAAAAAAAAAAAAAGATTCTTGGTTTGACACTTTCTCTTTAAATAAATAACTCAATCACCAAATATTAGGTCATTTAGACATATCTGCACATCACAGTATTTGCTGTGCTCCCAGGGAAGCCACGATGGCAACCGCAGCCCCAGGCAGCTGCCTACCTGAGCTTCCCTACAGCTACTTCTGTACAAGGGTTCTGTGACAAGAAAGCCAGCTCAGCTTTCTAAAAGCACTGCTTGCTTAACACACGGACTCCAGCAGTGCTCTGAAGGAAGCAGCACCACAGCCTGCCTGCTCACAGCAATCCCATGTGGTCCCACGCTCTGTCCCAGCTCCTATTGGGTATGCACGTCCAACACCCAAGTGTGACTGTGCTCTGAAAGCACCCGGCAGGGAACAGCAGAAAACTAGAGAGCACACAATGATTCATTCCAACCTTTACTGTGTTTGCCTTTTTTTTTTTTTTTTTTTTCTTTTTAAATATAACTTCCATGCAGAGTTCTCCAGAGCAAGTGCTGATGTCAGAGCCTCCTGGCCTTGGCACAGCCACAGACACTTCTAGCCACATGGGAGGAAAAGCTTTTGCTACATGACTTTTTTTTTTTTTTTTTTTTTTTAAACTTTGAGGCCAACAATGTGTTCTCATCTGCACATTACAGGTAATGAGTCCTATCAAGAATTTCTAACAAAAACTGTACATGAGTTTACAAACGTATTAACATATAAATAATGAGAAGCTTCCTGCCTGGAGCCTCCACAGTAGTCTTTTTGCTTGAGAATATAATACTGGAAGGGTAGACCCAATCCCTTTCCACAGCACCAGTCAGAGCCGGCTTCGTCCAGTCAGCTGTTCTGCTCAAGCATCACAGGGTTTTTTCTTCTTCAGTGCCTCTGGCTTCAATAAGCAGTCTGTCATTACTGTGCAAAAGCAAGAGTCCAATGCCTTTGAGAAGGAATCCTGCTGCTGAGAGGCCTGTGCCGCCCGGTCATCGCTCGGGTCCGAGCTCCTGCTGGAAGGTCCTTTTCTTCTCCCGACAGTGCTTCTTGTGCGCAGGCCAGTCCTTCTGCTGGCACTGCGACCCGCAGTACCTGGCCACCTGGCAGCGGCCACAGATGTTGAATTCACGTAGCTAGGAGAAAGAAGGCAGAGTTAGCAAGCCTGCTCAGCACCACGAGACCTCTGCCTTTCCCAAGGAGGTTTACAGTCCACCTCTCGCTCCTGCCTATGGGCATATCCCAGCACCAGCGTCAGAGTACCACAACGACTCAAAGCAACAGCATTTGTTTGATTTTGCAATCGTTCCTGCAGGGCTCAGTAGACTAAATTCTGACAGCTTTACACGTGTTCTCATACTGCTGCTGTTGTACAAACATCTTGGATACAGACACAGTCAGCAGGGCTGCACACGCTGTCACTGCTGGACAGTCATCCAGGAAGCTCTCAGGTACAGACCCAAACAAAGGTAAAGCTCACCCTTTTTCAAATTAAGACAGTTTTTAAACTTGTTTACTTCCTCCTCAAAAAGACCAAAATGGAGCACGAAATGATTTAGCCTGTTCAGTGTTTATTATCACGAAATAAAAGCCCTTATTCTTAGATAAAGACATTGGTCTTTATTGGAGATGCAGCCCTCAGATGCTCCATTCTATACCTGCCTTCATCTGGACTATGCTGCTCCACTTCATCTGCCTACAGCAAAGAGCTACAGCTAGCCTTCCTGTCAGTTCAGTGCTGAATAAGCACCATGCAAGTCCACTCTCTTCACATGAAAGGTCAAGCACGTAATCTTTTTTACTCCACTACTTTCAAAGCCTTAAAACGCTTTCTCCATATCTGATAAAGAAGCCTCACATAGCTCCTTCAAATTCTGGGTCACTGGAGACCTGGAATGCTTCCACCTGTCTTTTTATGCACACTGCAGCCATTACACTCCTCCCAGCATACAGTTCAGTCATTTCTCGTCCCAATTCAATACAACATTCTCTCATAGTGTCAATTAAAATCTACATCCTTCCTCTATGAAGCCTGGATAAACACTTCCAAAGAAATCATAAGAGCCTGAATCACATCAGAAAAAATCCATGCTGAAGAACACCCGATTTAAAGAGAATTTCTGCCTTCAGCAACTGAATGCAGCCTGCAAAACTTGTTAGTTTTAGGAACAACCTCTCCCCTCCCCTACAGAAGCAGCCCAAGTCATCATCTGTTTACTTCCAGCTCTTTCAAACACACCTGCTTTTCAATCATTGTGCATGGGGGGTAGTGACATTCATAGTATGTGCATGAGTTCTCTTCCTCCTCCACAACATCCCCGTTAGCGTTGTAGTATCGTGTTACATTCAGTACAGGAAACTGCTCTTCTATAGGGTCTGTAGGGAGTTGTTGGATTGCCAGCCAATACAGGCTTTGTTCCCTTTAAAAAAGCAAGTACACATTCGTTAAAAAAGGTAGGTAAGGTTACCATTGCAGTGAACCTGCTACACCTTGACTACATAGATTTCTCACATACAGCATCCCTTTAGTGTTACTCTGGTGTAAATGCAAAAGAATTAAGTCTGTGGGTCCCTCACAAAAAATGAACATTCCTTCCCCCCCCCCATCACATGTGAAACAAGTCCAACTTGATGTAAGGATCTGATGCACTCTGAGTAACATCGGCACGACATGTTGTGTAGGAAGTTCCCACAACCTGCAGTGAACACCAACAGAAGCTGTTCCCAGGAACTTGTTTTTAACCTAAATACACCATTCCAGATGTAATCATTGTGCAGTCCCTGGCTTTTGCAGACTGTGTTAGAACTTCAGTGCCTGAGGATGAGAGCTACAAGCCTGCAAGAACTGCGGGCTGAACTCCGTGTCCCCAAATGCCACCATTCAAGCAGAAGGGAACGCAGGTTTACTGCTTTACTGTGGTGACATCTGGCAGAGCAGAACCTCCACATACTGCCACGGGGTGAGACTGACCCTCCATAGCACGGTCAGAACTAACTCTGGTCTTTCTCAGATGAGCAATCTGAAACAGTGATGCATAAGCAGCCCAAAGTCAAACGAACAGGCTCAGCCAAGATGGACACCACTGAACAGAAGAGGTGAAACAACTGAAGATGCTGACAAGCATTATTCAATGGCATCTCCCTGCCAAATATCAACACACCTTTGTTTACTGGAGAGATCTTCAGCTTTGGGTTTCCACCCCCACGGGACAAGGCGCAGATTGTCGAGGCGGTTGTCCACGGTCACTGAATTCAGATGTACCACCTGAAATCCCGGAGCGATCCCTCCACGGTGCCTCTCCCTGCAGGAAACAAAACCAGCTCAAAGCTCAGCAACGAGCAACGCTCCACAGCCACAACTCTGCACTGAATCCAGAAGACCTCCCAGCCTGCTGCCGTTGATACAACTGAGGCTGCAGTGAATATTCCAGCTATATCAGCTCCCAGAAGACAGAGATCTGTTTCAGAAGCTCATTTCCATTATAAATTAGTTGACTCAGAAGACAATCCTAGTATATTTTAATTGCAAGAATACTGCAGAGAAACTTCCAGAAACCACCATTCCAGTTTCAGCAACAGCACCCACGTAATTATTAATATTATAGCTTGAAAGGAGCTAATATTGTTTTATTATTTTAATAAGAGTTTCTATCAGACACACTTATGTTCAAGTTTGGCACTGGTGTGAGTCAGTTTTTCATTTACTGAAGACATCTCTTAAGCAACAGGACAGGGGTTTCACCACCAAACAGGCAATGTTTTTGACTAATTGTGAATAACAGACAGCCTGCAATGCCTGCACAATTGACTAAGAGTAGTTACTGAACGCTGCTTGAACCCAAAGCAGGACAGCTGCATATTAACTCATGCCAGCCTCGATTTAGAGAAAAAAAGAAACCAAAAACCAAAAGCATGCTATGGAAAGGAGTCTGCTGAACGGCTCTGATGGAGGGAAAGCTTGGGAGTTGTTGAACGCTGCAGGAGGGTCTGACAAGTGAAGTGGGGAACCCTGAAGGCTGGAAGTGAGAACCATGGAGCTACATGGATACATACATGCATACAGATGAGGGCAGCCATTGATCAGATACCAAGAGGGAAGAAATTAAGGTTCATTAGACCGAGACCAGGACAAAGTGCCAACAAGGGAGATGGGATTGATACGGATGTGGGATCTGGGTGCAAGAAACAGAGGTGCAAAGTAAGAGCAAACTGGGGAGGAGGGAAGGGGGGAGACTGACTAAGAAACTTTTCTGAAACAGATAATGACACTTTAAAGAAAGGCTGAAGTTAGGGAACAAGAGGATTCCAAGAGATTGTTAGGGACATCAATAAACCATATCCTACCCTGCTTCTACAAAGCCTCCATCTGCACCCATGATCCCAGTAAGCTCCACTGCAGCTGTACCTCCTGCATCCCATAATACCCAGGGGCACATCCTGGTGCAGGGCACCCAGGAGCCACTTGAGCCAAAGGCTGCAGGAAGCTCCTCCTCATAGAGCACTGCAGAAATGTGGTTATGATTCAGGCTGCAGCTCCCAGGCGGTGCACACATCGGCAGGAGGGTTTTGGGGGCAAAGGAAAAGGTTCCCATCACCACTGCAGCTTTGGTAGCCACAAGTTTTAAGGGCCTCACTACATGAACAATGATTCCTGCTTAATTCAAATGAAAAAATATCTATCAGCCTTATTGCAGAAGCATCCAACACTGTATGCTAAACTAGAAGCACAGCATCAGGTTTGTTCCTTCAGAGTGAGATTCTGGGAAAGAAGGGGACACACAGAAGAATGGATGGAACTCCTGCACTCCTCCACATGCTCTCTGCTTTTCCTTCATGCAGGAAACACAGCTGTGATGGGTGCTGCCACTCATCTCCCTTACAGTGCCCCCACAGTGCTCCCTGCTGCCCAGAACTCATGGGGGAAGGACCTTCAGCTCAACACACTGCAGGTTTGTTTCCAGAACAGCTGCAGCACAAGGAGAGCAGAACAGTGTGCTGACAGCAGGGCCAGCACTACATAGCACCTGTAGCCAAGAGGCTTCCCAGAGATACAAGGAGACTCAGGCAGCAAGGCAAACAAAGCTGCCTCGTGGTAGCACATAATTAAAGACCACAGCAAATCAAACCTTCAGAGGGATCAAACCAACTTTACAGAACGGTAGAAACGCTGAGTGTTTCCCAAAGAACCTGACTGCATCTCCAGACACGCAGATCTGCATGCAGGACAGCTCACAGCCCGCCTCCAAAAATCCCCATCATACAGAACCTCGGGGGTTTGACACCAGCATACGGTGAAGTCACACGATCTGAGTTACCCAACTGAATACGTTAGATTTGTTTCCTAACAGAAGTCCAGCTAACGAGAGAGGCAATGGCTGAGCTGTGTGCAAAGCCCTGCACAAGCTGGAGCAATGAAAGCACTGCTGGTCCTACTGTGAGGTGCACAGTGAGCAGGGGCTGACAGCCCGACTCGACCGTGCGGCGCAGCAACTTCTGACTCACTTCCAAAGTTGTGTACTGTGAGATTAAATAATAACAGAAGCAGGTTAAAATCCATATTTAATGAGCAGATTAAAAATAATAGTAATAGTGCCTGGCGCTTTTCCTGACTCCCTCCTCTCATCCAGGCACTGAGTTGGGGGAGAACAAGTAACCTCAAGCAATTAAGAAAGTAAGATCATGGGCACTGTGACTTCTCATTACAGTTTACTGGACTAAACAGAAGGTATGCTTAATTTCTCAAAAACGACTTTTAAAAATAAAGGTTCTCTTCAACATATCCCACCTTTCCTACAAACCCATAAAAAACACACTTACAAAGTGCTTCTGACAATAGGTTGCTGGCAATCGTGCAACACTGGGCTCTGAGTCCTAATGGCAGCTACAAAGAATTTCAGGCAATGCTCCCTGCCACGTGGGGAACAGATACAATAGTATAGGAAACAGCAGCAGCACCCTTCAGGCAGCACTCCAGAAAGCCAAGCAAAATCCCTGAAGTTTCAGGCTATCAGATGTTCTATCCACACTCTGCCACTTCTCACTTACCTGCTCATCACAGGACAGAAGCAGCCCCAAGTGAAGTTTCAATTGCATTTCTCAGATTTAAGCAACACATTACTCACCTGTCACTACTTTCCGTGAAAATAATGTTACTGAGCCTCAGCTATTTCAAGGCATGGTGCAAAACACACCAAGGCCAGGACACAACAGCACTGCTGTGCTGGGCTCTGGCTGAGGCTGGGAGCCCCTGAGAGGCCCCAAATGCTGCGGGCAGCAGCCCCAGGCTCCATGGATACCCACCAGAGCAGCTCGTGCAGCAGGCGGCCAGATCCCCTTCCACGGTTTTTGTCAAAAGCATAAGCAAATATTTTAGCACCATTTCCATCAGCATCCACCTCCATGCGAGCCTGGAGAGAAGGAGAAGGTTGTAAGAACAACGGGTGCTGAGCAGCAGAGTGTGAGCTCCGACAGGACAGCAGCACTTCCCATGTGTCTGCAGGACGCTGAATTGCCATGGAATCGTGGTTGTTTCAGATCTCCAGCATGACTGAGCCTCTACTGCTCAGCTTGGGAGGGACTCCAAACCCCCCCAGCTCAGTTTGCTCAGGGCCCATCGACGGCCTTGGGCACCTCAGGGACGGGCACCCACAGCTCTGGGCAGCAGTGCCGGGGCCTCGCAGCCCTCTGAGGAAAGGGTTTCCCCCCCATCTGACCCAGATCTCCTCTCACCCCGCCCCACAGTGGAAGTACCGAAGCCGCCCGCGCCTCCCCGGCCCCACTCCCACAGCCCCCACCTCTCCTCGCCGGACGCGGCGCCGCACGTGGGGCCTCACTATTGTCAGTAGGGCCGCGCAGAGGGAAAGCCGCGGCGCCGGGAGCTCGGCAAACAGCACAGCCCGGCATCCCTCGGCCTTCCCAGCCCCAGGGGCGCGGGCGGTAACAGCAAACCTCGGGGTGTGACTCCGCTCAGGGGACGTTTCCGCACCCACGTGCGGAGGGAACACCTCTCAACTTTCCCCGCTCCGACAGGGGGAGCGCCGTTCCCGGCCGGCAGCGCGCAGGGGCGGCAGGCCGGCAGCGCGGCGCGGGGATGGCGGCGTGCGGGAGGACGGAGCTCCGGAGCGCTCCGGGCGGGGCGCGGGGACGGGGCGCGGGGCCGGGAGGGGGTGGGGAGGAGCGGTTCCCGAGGGGTTCGGTCCCGGGGGGCCGCGCGGAGCTCACCTCGAAGGAGAAGCTCTCCACCAGCGGGATGTCCTGCTCGTCGATCAGCGTGTATTTGGTCTGCAACACAGCACCGCGCTCAGCCGCCGCCCCGCGCCCGCCGTCCCGCGCTCCGCCCGCCGCCCGCTCCGTGCGGCCGAGCCCGGCCCGCGGCTCCCGGCCGCGCCCCCCCTCCCTCCGTCCGTCGGTCCGTCCGCTCCCCCGGAGCCCGCACCTTGCCGGCCACGCGGCCGAGCCGCACGATGCCCAGCTTGAAGTCCGTCATGGCCGGGCCGGGCCGGGCCCGCGCTCAGCGCCTCGGAGCCCGCGAGCGGGAGCCGCTGCCACGCGCCGCCGCCTCGCGCACACCCGGGGAGGGGGGCGGGGCGCCGCACCACCTCCCACCCGCCGCCCGCCGGCCAATGGCGGCCCGCGCCCTCGCCGCGTCGTTCTTACTACGCCGCCGGCTCGGCCAATGGGAGGGCGGCGCGGCGCGGGGTCACGTGGGAAAGGAGGGCGGGAGGAAGGTGGAAGGGGGCGCGCGCGGGCGCGGGTTCGGGCGCGGGAGGGGGCGGGGGGAGGGAGGCGCGGGCGGTGACGTCACGTTCGCGGGAAGCTTTGTGCCGCCTGCACTGGCGGGCGGGGAGGGGGTGGGACGGCGTGGGAGCGGGCCTGGGCCTGCGGGGCGTTGCGTTATGCGTGTAACCATAAATAAACCGTAACTTGGCTGCGCTGGGGGCTCAGCGCCAGCCCCGAAGGCCTGGCAGCGGCCCGGTCCCGGACCGGGGGGGGGATGCCTAGGGCCTCCATAGGAACTGGAGCGGACGGACAGACGGACTCGCGGCAGCTCGGGGCCGCTGTGTTGCGGGAGCGCCCTCCGCTGCCCCTCCGCCTCCGTGCCGCGCAGGCGCTCCTGCCGCGCTGTCCCGGCGCCGCTCCGCGCGCTTCGGCGTCGTTCCGTACCGCCGTGCTCCCACGGGGACCCAGCGCCGAAGGCCCGGAGCTGCTGCCGTCCAACTCCGCGTGTTCGGCCCCGAAGGCGCTGTCCGAATCGGAAACATGGGTAAATGGGGAGCGGCGGCGTCCGTGCGGTCGCCTCGTGGAGCGCAGCACAGCGCAGCCGTGTCCTGGGAAGGGTTCGGCACCCCTTTGTGGCACTTCCCGTCCTTCCTCGTGCAGATGCAGCACGCTGCAGTGCGAAGAAACCGTGGTGGCCGAGCGCGGAGCCAGCGATCGGGAGGATGGAGTTCAAACACGGAGCTAATGTAGGTCGATACTGGCTGTGTCAGTTCCTTTCTAGGAAGCCTGGGTGGAAAAATATTGGCAGAGCGGGACGTGCTTCCCAGAGCTGCATGGCTCCTGCTGGAGTTGTCCTAAGGCAGCACAGGAAGGGTCATATCTTGACCCCAGGAGAGTTTTCCTTAAGGAAAACACATTTTTTTTTCCTCCCCCATTATTTCCTGCACTGTCAAGTGGGGAGAGTCCACAGCACACGCATGCAGGGATGCTGCACAGTGCAGGGTGCTCCCAAGCTCACACCAGCGGGGGCTCTGCTAATGCCGAGGTTAGCAATCACTTTAAAACTCTTTAAACTAAAATTGCTTCTGAAAGATGTGCTGCTCACCTCCGCCAGACTGCCTTCACTGTCAGCAATGCAAGTTGGTGGTGGGATTGCTGCAAAGCTCAGCTGGAAGGGAGCCAGCTGACCACTGAGCGCACAGCCAGCCTGGCCAATGGAGCTTCCCCAGGGTCCAGGAGGTCCCACCAGCATCCCAGTGTCCCCACTGCAGTCTGGGGCCACTTGGAAATGTTTTTCCTTACACCGAACCAGGATTTTGTTGCAAGTTGTGTTCTTGGAGAGGTGCTGGGTCAAAAGCAGACCTTGTTTTAGAGAGCACCAAGGCCATGCCTCCTTGCATGGAATCTCCAAGCTAGAGAATTAGCAAGTGCCTGGGATGTCAGTCTTGCTTTATTCAGCTTTAGCCCCTGATTCTCTCAGAGAAAGGCCCTCCAAACAGCTGTAGAGGGAGCAAAGGGAAGCAGAAGGCCAGGGAGCTCCTGCAGCTGCTGACGAGGCTGCATGAGGTCTTGCAGACTGATAGTCAGAGCTTGGATGTGTGATATAAGCTGATGTCTGCTGCTACTATTTGAAGTGACAGAAGCTAATTTTGTGTTCTGCCTTTCTCCATTTCACTGCAGCCCACATGCAGTATCTGCAGCCCTCAGCTCACCGGAGCGATGTACCCGCATTTCATCAGGCAGCAGCGGACCAGCCTGGATATTCTCAGAAACCGCAAACACATCGGTCAGCCCAAATCCCCCCTGCCCTCCCACACGGCCCAGCCTTCATCCAGAGATCCTGGCAGCTCCCTCTTTGCTGCTGTGCATCCCACTTCTGCCCCTGAGCCCATTGTAAAGTTACAGCACTGCTGCTCATTGAACATCTCAGGTGGAAAAGGTCACAGAATGGCCAGGGTTGGAAGGGACCTCAAGGATCATGAAGCTCCAACCCCCCACCACATGCAGGGCCACCAACCTCCACATTTCACACCAGCCCAGGCTGCCCAGGGCCCCATCCAACCTGGCCTAGAACACCTCCAGGGATGGACGGGGCATCCACAGCCTCTCTGGGCAGCTGTTCCAGCACCTCACCACTCTCTCTGTCAAGAACTTCCCCCTGACATCCAACCCAAGTCTTCCCTCCCTCAACTTCAAACCATTTCCCCTTGTCCTGCTGTTATCTCCCCTTTCCAAGAGTTGATTCCCCTCCTGTTTGTAGGCTCCCTTTAGGTACTGAAAGGCTGCAATGATTCACCCCGCAGCCTTCTTTTCTCCAGGCTGAACAAGCCCAGCTCCCTCAGCCTGCCCAAGGTCCATCCTTGGGAAGCTTTACCCATTTCCCCACTGGGCACAGCAGCACAGAAGCAGAACAAGCACAAGGCCTTAACACAGCAGCAGCCTGTTGTCAAATCATGTGCAAACAGGTGATTTCTTATGATCCCCATGCTAATGCTATGTACATTTCATGCTTCACAAGCAGTACAGGATGCATTCCTAGCGCATGACTGCTGTGCGCTCAGGCAGTGTAGCCAAAAGCCACACTTGTGGCTTAAGCTGGAGCAGTTACAAAGATTTCATTTCTCCACCTTGCTCTGCATCTCAGTAGCCTCAAACAACAGCTACTTAGAAATTGTGTGGTGCTTTGCATGGTGGGAATTGACGCTACTTCAGCAACCAAGGGCCACAGCTCAGCACACACAGCACAGTGGCTGCCACCACATTTTCTCATACTCAGCTTTGGCTGGGATTTATTTGGGGGCCTGACTTTACCTCTATTAGGTGCTGCTGCAGCCGATCCCCCAGCACTGCCATCTCCCTCCTGCTGCTCTGGCTTTTTCCCAAAGGACTCAAACAGATCCTGGTAAACAGTCACAGCCCCATTTGGTGATTTTGAGCAGCCCAGCTGAGGTATCCTTCACATTCATCACCAGACATACCAGTTTGCCACCCTTTCCCACAGTTACCACAATATAGACCACCGTATACAATCCTGTTTGCTGTAGCAGAGCTCCATCCAGAAAGTCTTCTTGTGCTGTAAGTGCTGGATAACTGTGTTGCTTGCAGAAGTGAACAGACAATGGTAAAAAAATCAGCTCATTAAGTACCATTGCTGCTTTTGTAGAGGAGGAAAGCATACCTTCCAAAAATCTTTTCTGAGGCCAAGGCCCACTGTGTTCAGAAACTTGTGAAGAATTTCATTCCCTTTCCCTTCAGAAAAATAGCTGTACATTGAGAAGGCTCCTGCCCACCCCAGAATGCTGGTGGGGCTGCAGTGAACTGCACTCATAACACCATTGTTAGCTGGGCTTAGCAACACCAGTGTCAGCTAAAGCATTCTTACCACCAGGATTATTCCACTTCAGCTTTGTGCAGCCTGAGATCACACAGCATCCCTGGTGCTGTGCCACCCCAAAGGAGAGCCCAGTCCCTGCTGGAAATAGAACACTTCCCAGGAGCTTCAGAGAACATTGGTTTTACCCACATCTTCCAGCAGTACCTCAGTTAACAGCTCCACATTGCTCTCAGGTGTGAGCACGTAGCATCAAACCCTGCCTCGTGTAACGTGCATCAAGCCCAAAACACAAAGCACTTCTCTCTTAGAGGTTGGTTATGTTGTTATAGCTGAGTTTGGAAGAGGTTCCTAGCATCATGAAGCATCAGATGGTTTGAAGCAGCCTGCTAAGGTGGCACTTGATTTTTACAACACCTAAAGGGAAGTACCAACACAAACTGCTTTTTTTAATTTCAGGGACACCAGGACCTGGAGCATATGATGTAGACATGGGCTATCAAGCTTGCTTACCCAGCTCCCCCAGCATCACCATCCAAGGAGTCAGGAGGCCCAAGAGACACGAAACCGGCCCCTTTACAACGCTCTGAGATGGACTACAGAATTCCACCCCTAAAGACAGGGCTTGCTCCCCTTCAGTAGTGAAAAACACACAGGAGTTCACCTCAATCTGAGTTTTCTGTATTTTTTCTAGTCACCAGAAAGCCCCATCTCCTCTGACTGAAGGCATGAGAAAAATCTGAGCAAAGAACCTATACCAGAAAAACCCACACTGCCACCTAAGCCAGATGTTCCCACTGCTGGCTGAACAAGGCCAAGCTCCATCCCACCAGGCACGAATCCTGCAGACTTGAGGACAGACCTGGACATACTGCCTTATCTAGGATTTTATTTCTATCAGTGCCATCAGATCATGTGCAACTCCTCCCAGAGGCAGGCAGCCCAGTTTACTTCTAAGCCATGGCAGATATCAGCTGCTGGGACACTGCAGCAGCCCTGGCTATACGGAAGCTGGCCTCCTGCAGCACTTACCCCAGTGAAGGGCACCAGCTGTAGCTGTCAGAGCCATGTGCACATCTGGCATTGACAAGAGCTCACAGAAAGCTCCCCACAGGAGAAGTGCAGAGGGCATACACCTCTGACATGGGAATGCTTGCTTGAAGCAATTCTACTTCTCTAAGCTTTGCATCACTGCAAGCAAACATCATAGGGAAATGAGAATTCTGCATCTTTAGTATATGTATAAGAACAATCACCTTGGTACTTCTGCACAAGGCAGAGCCCATGTACACAGAACTGGACAAGGACAAAAATCAGTGACACTTTTTACAGACAGCCTGGTGTTTTATTAAGTATTTAAGGTGTTACAGAAGATGTAAGAACCTTCATATGGTAACTTCTTTTCCACACTTAGCTCTGTTGAGAGAAAAAAATACAGTTCATTAGTAGAGAGCCCTTTAGTAAATAGTTTAATTACAGCAGTTTCAGTTAGAGATGGATACTTACAGCTGGGCACTCAATTGCACCACTATTGATGTCATCAATGATATCATGTGGGTGCCTGCCATCAATGCTGCAGCCCACAGACTGAGCAGTTCCAAGAATCTCCTTAATTGTCCCTGCAGTTGGAAAAACACAGCTTTAGCACAGGAAAAACCCTGAAGAACCATTAGATAGCCCAATTCCAACTGCCTCAGCCCTCCTATGCCATCTACCTGGTGGTCTGCAGGCTGCAGCCACCTGGTTCAGAAGGGGCAGCACACAGCCTAAGCCAGCTAAAGGGTACTATTCACAGAAAGCTCCAGAAAGCACAATGTCTGCTACAAGCTGAGTGCCTAAGGTGCCATCTACTACTCAGCCCCATATAGCGACAGAAGTAGGTACTGCAGGCAGGTCAGGATCCCCGAGTTAAGCCCTGCCATGCACACATGCCTTGCAGCTGGCACTGCTTTCACCAGGCAGTAAGAAGCTGGCTGCTGGCAGCACCAGGTTGTTAATGTGTTGCTACAGCCACCTGCTCAGTGTCAGCACAGACAAGCTGCAGGAACTTCACCATACCTGTAAATTAGGTTGTCCCAAGAATCAGCCAAGAGCCTGAACTACTCAGATCACACAGCAAGACTCAGTCCCACCCCTTAAGGTCAGTACTTACCAGACAGCTCTCGAGCCAGAGATCTGTGCCTCATCTGCCGAGCGATGTTCACTATCTCATCAAAGCTGACACTGCCACTGTGCTTTACTGTGAAGCAAAACAATGGCACCAGTAAGCTCACTGAAGCACAGTGCACTCCCAGCTCCCCCATGCTCCAACAGAAAAATGCCATTCCTGGCACTCAAATCACACAGAGAGAAGTGAGGTTACAGCTACACTGGGGCTGTGATCAGTGCTGCTGTTCTCAGCCTTCGGCACAGAGTTATCCACGAGAATAACTCTGTTTCCTAGGTTGACATTTTCTCTCAGCTCACCTCTGGACTATACAAGTCACTCATTACAAGACAGGTACAGTGGCGGGTGGCTGTTCTGCTCACTTTGGGGATGTATGCATTGTCTGTGTGCTACACTTCAGGAAATCCTACTGCCCCAAAAGCCCCCTGGCACTTGTCTGCCAGTTTATGCTAAGCAGCCAAGAGGTACATGTTCCTTTTCAGTACTAAATGACATTGAGAACCAAAGGTGGAACAAAACTTACTGTTTTTCTGCTTCTTCCTGTCACGAGGGGGCTCCTTCAAAGCTTTGATAATCAGAGCAGAGGCAGAAGGAACCACTTCTATCTAAATAAAAAGAGATTAATTCTTTTCCCCACCACCCAAGCATGCAAATAACACAGCCTGGACTTAGTTTTCTGTTCCCCATTACACGCCTCCTCCTGCAGCACAGGACTTTGTTCCCAGCCTTTCGGCACAGGACTCCCCACAGCCAGAAGAGCACTGCTTCCTGGGCTGGGGCTGCTCTCAGCTCACCACTGGAATATACCAGCCACTGGATTCAAGGCAGGTATAGTGGCGGGTGGCTGCAGAACCGGCTCGGAAAGGCTTTGTTCAGACCTCCATCCCCCCTTGTTTCCCAGCCCCACACACACACCCCGCACTCAGAAGGATCGGGCACTTCCTTCCTACCCAGGTCTTCCCAGAAGACCCCACACGACGTGTGGCACTCATTTTATCCACCTCGGAAGGATGAAGGGCTGAGTGGACCCTGCCGGGATTGGTCGCTGTGGTTGCGGCAAGCGGCGCCCGCTGCGCCCAGCGCTTCCACCACAGCGCGATCCCTCGTGGCGTCCAGTACCTGCGCTTGCCTGTTCTGGATGGTGAGCTTCACCGTGATCCTCAGCCCCTTCCAGTCCCCCGTAGCCTTGGCGATGTCATCACCGACCTTCTTGGGAGACTGAGAACAACCCACGTATTACAATCAGGAAAACCTCGCATGAATGAAGGCAAAGAGCCACGCACCGCACCGCGACCGACCCCGCAGCCCCACGTACCAACCCGAGCGGTCCGATCTTGGGGGCCAGAGCGGAAGTGGCGCCGACCTCCCCGCCGGTGCAGCGCAGGTACACTATGGACACAGCAACTCAGTCAGCTCCACACCGCCATCCCCGCTCCCCCAGCGCCCCGCCATCCTCCCGGCCCAACACGTACCGACTTTCACCTCGGTCGGATCGAACTTAGGCGGCATGGCGGCGGGCGGTGCGGATGGCGGCGGATCCTACAAACCGCGGCCTAGCGGATGGTAGAGAGGCAGTAGGCGGTGCGCGGGAGATATATATAGGCACGGAGATCTCGCGAGAGCTTGGGATCTGCGCCCTCCTCCCCTGCCCGCAGGGAACTCTATGGTGCGAGAGGGGGGCGCTCTGGCCTTTCGTCTCTGTGGTGCGGAGGCCCCGAGGCGGGACGGGGTGTCATGGCAGCGGGCAGCTGTGAGCGCGGCCGAGTTGGGGAGGGGGCTGGGCGGCGCGGAGCCGGAGGGGGTTTGCTGCCGCTTCTATCGCATTGGAGCCGGCGGCGGTGCTGAGGCTGCGGGCCGCTGTGGTGGCTGACAGGAGGGGCGGGGGTCTCGCTGAGCGGCAGCTCGGCGCGTTGCGGTCAGTGCTCCTCACCCAGCTGAGCACCGCAGGGATGCAGGGATGCGGGGTTTGTGGGGATGCGGGGTTTGCGGGGATGCGGGGTTTGCAGGAATGCTTGCAGGATTTACAAGGTTTGCAGGTGCCCGGCCCGCTGCTGTTGGCTCCTGCTCGTTTCTCCTCGCAGCCCTGACACGTTTCTTTCTCTGTTCAGCCGCCTGTCCTTCAGCTTTTGCAGTTTTGGGGTGAAAACTGAACTGTCTGCTGTCCACACAACTGATGGAAGGTACGTAGCCTAACAGAGAGAGGTGAGAAGGGATAAAGCGGTGCTTAAGGTCATCAGTTTTATCATTACTTTGCTGTAAGCATCCTTCTCTTGTTTCTTATCTTTTAAGTCCCCTTTTACTCCCGTCTGTGATGTTTGACCCCTGTTTGTGACTCCTTGTTATGTGTTACTGAATTTCCTGACTAATTCCTGACCATGAATTTCCCTTCTTGCTTAACTGTCTGAATTTTTACTCTGGCCTCTCCTCCTGGCTTGCCTTGGCTGCTGAGTGATGACTCCGTGGTGAGCACTGAGTGTTATACTGAGGGAGAACAGAGTGGGCCACAGTGAACATTTCACAGGGTCGTAGAATTTCCCAAGTTGGAAGGGACCCACAGGGATCGTAGAGCCCAACTCCTGATTTGGGTATTTAAGTCTGAACTTACTGAAAAGTTTCTCAGCATGGAGGTTGTTTTGGCTTTGTGGGCAGTAATTTGGTGATTGGAAAATAGGTTGGTTTTTGAAGTGTATTAAAAACCTGACTTTAAGTTAATAGGTGTTTAAGCAGAATCCCTTCATCTCACTAGGTGACTAAAATAGGAAAAGCATTGCTGTGCAGCAGTTTCAGTCTGAAATGCCAATGAACCAAGTGTTTTCTTACCTCAAGATAATCCCTGCCCTAAAATTCGAGGCCATGACCTGTTACAGTGGAGCTGAGAAGCAAAGCAAGCTGAGGTTGGACACCCTGACTCCTGAGTCTGTCTGGTGTCCCTGGAAGCAGCAGACACAGGCTGTGTGACTGCCAGAGGGCAGCAATTGCAAAGTCCCCTTCCAAGTCCCCAGTGTTCTGATCTGCATCGGTCCTGCCTGTTTCTCTTGCCCTGTAAGGTGGAGGCTTTCAAAATTAGGAATTGTCTCATTTCCAGCCTATATTTACTCTATAGTATTTTACGGTTGCTCAGTATTGTGCCAGAGTTAATCATTTCTGAGTTTGGGTAGTTTTGTCCCCAGTGCCTGCTTTCTTGGCACCGCCTTCTTAATTCCTGTCCTGGAGTGGATCCTGTGCTTTCCTGTCTGTACATGTTTCAGTTTGCCTTCAGGCATCTTGGACAGGAATGACAGGACAGTCTGCCTGTCTCAGAAGTTCATCAGTGCTTTCATGACTCACGTTGACATTTCCGCTGCAGAGGTGTGATGGGCTCTGTTTGATCAAGCCAAAGGAAGGCCTAAACAAAGACAATTGCTGCAGCAGTGATTTTTTTCTTCTTTTCTTGTTTCTCTTATTAGAGCAGAATTCTGTAGTCCAGGTTCCACACCTCCAAGAGCCATCTGCCTTTATTTATGCTGATAGTTTGTGCCATTCAGACGGAGCTATAGTCACAACTCAAGATGCCACTCTTCTTCCGTAAGAAGAAACCCAGTGAAGATGCTCGGAAGCGCCTTGAATACCAAATGTGCCTGGTAAGCAATGCTGATGTCACTTCTGTTCTCTGTACCTAGTCCCAGGTGCCTCGTTACTGATCTCATCCAAGTTAGCAGGCTGCCTTTCCAATGTCTGTCAGAGAATTCCTGCCTGCCTGATCTCTTCTTGCCTTTCCCTCCATACGTTCCCTCTGTACTACTTCCATCCCTTTCTTCTTCTGTGGTTCCACATCACACCTTCCAGCCCACCTTATGTCACCCCACATTCAGGACTTCCCATCCTTTCTCCTTCTTGCTATTTCCCTATTTTGTATCTCTCAGTTTGCTTTTTCTACCAAGAAATCTTGACATCTCTTTCCTGGCTTTTCTTATGCCTCTCCTTTGCCTCTTCTTATTTCTTCTCTTCGTGCCATTCAAAGAATTAACTTGTAGACACAGCTGGGGAGAGGGGCACCTCAGAGACAGCTCTGGTTATACTGCCTTTTTGCAGGTGGTGCCTTCAGTGAGCTTGTTAACTGTGGAGAACTACAGACTTATTGATGAGGTGCAAGTCTCTATTCCCCTTAGTTCTTCCTGCTTTTCTGGTGTCTCAATCCCTAGAGATTTGTCCACAGACACAGGACATTTGGAGTGGTTCATATGTTCAGGAGAAATAATGTTATATCCAGAAGGAGCAGTCATTAATTCAACATCAGGTCTCAAGGACATGTTTTTTCCTGGGCCAGTCTCTGCCAGGATCCTCTGAGGCAGATCCTCAGCAGATTGCTGTCATGGCAGTCACGGTGGTAGAACTACCTGCCTTACAGCAGCTGCAGATATAAAGCTGGCTTTCTCCAAGCATTCTTCTCTTTAATTATTTCACCTATTCTGCCATAGGAGCTGCGGACCAGTGCTGACATGGGGGATCTTCTGTGTTCTACCCTAGAGGCAGCTGCATTTTAGGAATGCTAATATTATTGCTGTTGGACATCAGTAAGGTAGTTTGGAAAGTAAGGCTTTGTTATACAGCAATAATGAAAACAGTTTTATTTATTTGGTTTGTAGGGTTTCTGTCTGCTTCTTGTGGGGCTGAAGAGGGAGAGCTAAATCTGAGTATTGTAGGATTCGTTTTGTATTGCATTCTTAGCCTTGGGTCAAGTTATGCAGTTCTGAAGACTTAATGGAAGCACTATCACAGACAGGCTTTATTGCCTAATATAATCTCTTTTATTTAAGGAAATAGACACAACGCTACTCACAGTGGGGCTTGTCCAGTGCCGGTGCTGTTAGCAGCTGCATTAGGTGTGGCTGATATGAACATGGAAAACCATTTTTGTGTGGAAGCAGCAAATTCTTGCTCCTTGCACGGCAAAGTTGGGCTTCCAGCAAAATACAACAGCAGTTGCTTTGGTTTCTATGTACAGTTCAGAAGGTCCACTATCTGAATGAGACCTGCCAGTGACACAGCAGCTCCGTGAAGGCCAGCAGGGTATTAGTTCAGAGCAAGCATGTGTCTGGTGCTCGAGAGTCCAGCTTTCCATTTCTTGTAGCTTTCAGTTGATATTTCAGCATGGGATACGCTTTAGTTCTTCATAGAAAAATTCATTTATTGCACAAAGAGAGTTTCTGCAGTTTGGTTTCCTGGTTGCTTTTGATTGCTGCAATTGTAGAAGAATTTGTTCCTGGCTTTTTCACTGAATTGCGTAGTTGCAGCAGAAGACTCTAATTAGATTTTTTCAAGAGCAGCCAATTGAGTAGTGTAGCCAAAATGCAGCAAGAGGCTGTTCATTTCTTCATGTTCTAACTCTTTGGATGTGTATCTTCTCTTACCAGGCAAAAGAGGCTGGCGCCGATGATGTTCTTGACATATCCAAATGTGAACTGTTAGAGGTATGTTCTCTGGAACTTTCAATATTAGCTGACAGGTCTGATTTCTCAGTCTACTTGTTAGCAAACATCAGATCTGATATCATGTCTGTGAGCTTTGGGACAGAAATGGCCTTGTTCCCAGGCCACTTCTTCCTCTGTATGTCTGTTCTCTGGCTTTCAGGTAAAGGCCTCTTTCTTATGCTGTGCTGTCCTACCTGTTGCTTCCACAGTATTTCTGTGCTGGGAATCCTCTTTCATTTGTCAGCATGGGAAGGGCAGAGTGATCTCAGGCCCTCCTTGGGAGGACCCAACCTCGGGACCTTATGACTAGTTTTGCTTGTCATAAGGGAATGTTTATTTTTATTTTTGCAAAAAGCTAGCTATGTATTGCCATAGTGCTCTAGAAAGTCTACTGCCTGCACTTATTTTTCTCTATAAGTGAACATGTCTGGCTCCAGGCTGCTGATTAGTGATGGAAATCTCATTTCTAGCTTGGCTTCTGGTGTTGGAGCCAACTAAATTAGAAGCAAGCTGGCTGCTGGAGTATGATGGCAGATGGATGGGCCTTCAGTTTAGACAGTTTTGCATTCTGGCAGCCATGCAAACCTGCTAAACAGAAGCCCATTCCTTTCAGTTTTTATTTATTGCTCTGTGTTTCTGAAGTGTTTGTACCTGTGTAACCTTTTGTCACAGGATGCCTTTGCAAGCAGGTTAATGAATGTATCACTGCTCTTTGGGGAGAGATTTGGGAGAGTGTAGCTGCCAACTGTGCACTGTGATATGGCTTTGTGAGACTTTGGGAAGTTTTGCTCCAGGACTAGAAGCCAATGGCACCTTGTGTGTAGGTTTGTGAGCTGTGTGGGGCAGGCTGTAAGCCAGTCTGGGTAGAAGGGTGGCAGGCACAGGGTGTGCTCTGGAGTAGCTCCATTCATAGCTGTAGCTGGTCTTGGATCCTGAGCTGCTCCTTCTGGATTAGTACCATAGAACTCTGTCTTGCTGTTTCCTTTCAGCTGTTGTAGTTTCAGTAAATGAAGTGATCCACGAGATCAGTCTTAAAATTAACTCCAAAATTAAAGACAAGATTGTGATTTAGCCAAAACCTGTTCCATGCTGCAGAATGGATGAGTGCTCAGATCATGGGCTGAAATTGCTGGCATATCCTTTTTCTGATTGCCCATCTCCTGCAAAGCCCAGCATGCTCATGAGAACACTCAGTTTCTCACCTCTGTCACTCAGCCCACTGGAGCAGGTATGTTGAGGTTGCAGAACCATACAATACATTTTTAAGATGTCTAGCTGAAAATGTGCCTGAACTCCTGAGTCATCCGTGCATTTAATATAAAGTCACTCAGGGTCTGGACTTCTGTCTAAGCCAAGCTCTGTTCTGTGCTGTTTGCTATGCTGTCGTGTTGTGGAGAGCCATTGCAAGCTGCTGGCATGGAAGCTAACCAGGCAGCACTGGCATCCTGGGCCAAAACAAGTGTTAAGTAATGTTAATATCATGTGCATTTTCATTAAAGTTAATTACTGAGACTTTACAGGTGGATATTGTAGAAGTGCTTAGAAAAGATAATATCTTGTGAAGTCTGATGTGTCCATTTTTTAATTGTTTTTAGGTTCCATATGGGGCCTTTGCAACTTGTAAAGTCTTGCAGAAAAAGGTAATGATACATTCCAAAGTAGATAATTCTATTATTGTGCATGAATATTGCTGTTGTATTTGAGATAGTTGCTTCTGGCTGTTTGTTTGCTTCAGGAGGAGTTTGTTTGTGATGAATTTGGCCATTTATATGATACTGCATAGAGAGCATTTTGGGCTGGACTAATCTGTTGTGTGTGCTTTAGTGTTTCTGTCACTAAAGATGAGATGATGATTTCTATCTTAACCTAATTAATGATATTTCTCATAAAAAATAACTAAGCTTCTGTTTAATATTAAATATCTTACCTCTACAATTCATTTATTATTTCACTGTTTTAGATGACTGAATAAGATACAAAATTCTTATATAACCTTTGCAGTTAAGTCTTAGCAAAAGTCTTATTCTAGACTGTGGTGCCTCTTATGCTCATGTTTCAATGTGCTTTTCCCTCCTCAGGTGCTGATTATTCATACAAATAATCTTACATCTTTAGTTCCAAAGTCGTGTAGCCTCCTGAGTCTCATAACTGTGAAGGTAATTGTGACTTTTAACAGTCATTCTAGCTGCATTAAAACACACTAGTCCAAAAAAATTCTCCTGTCTGACTGTTGTTACCAAAAAGTGGTAACAAAATGTGACAGCTCCCTTTTGTAGGTTTACAAAACCTGGGGGATCACTTGAATGTGGATGAGACTGGTGGTGAAGCCAACTGATGTTGATCAGAGGGCTGGAGCACCTTCCTTATGAAGACAGGCTGAGGGAGCTGGGCTTGTTCAGCCTGGAGAAAAAAAGACTGTGGGGTGAGCTCATTGCAGCCTTTCAGTACCTAAAGGGAGCCTACAAACAGGAGGGGAATCAACTCTTTGAAAGGGTAGATATCAGCAGGACAAGGGGAAATGGTTTGAAGTTGAGGGAGGGAAGATTGAGGTTGGATGTCAGGGGGAAGTTCTTTACAGAGAGTGGTGAGGTGCTGGAACAGCTGCCCAGAGAGGCTGTGGATGCCCCGTCCATCCCTGGAGGTGTTCAAGGCCAGGTTGGATGGGGCCCTGGGCAGCCTGGGCTGCTGTGAAATGTGGAGGTTGGTGGCCCTGCATGTGGCAGAGGGTTGGAGCTTCATGATCCTGGAGGTCCCTTCCAACCCTGGCCATTCTGTGATTCTGTCTTTCTGTGCAACATTTCAGCCCACAGACCCTGCAGAAACTGTTTTTCTGCCAGCCTGTTTTCATGGAGATGATTTGTTCACTTGGCTCGTCTAGTTCTGTGGAACAGTTCCCGTGGTGCCACTCCTTTCCCTGGTCACCTGTTTGTTTATCAATATATAGAGCCTAGAGTTTTCAAAAGACCTGCAAGAGTGAAGTGCCTCCATCCGATGGAAAACTTCAGACTTTTTTGAAGCCATCATGGGAAGAAATAATTTTCATTGCTCAATAATTCACAACCTTTCATTTCATTTTCATCACGACATCTTTCCCCAATACTGTTTGGTGAAATGATCTGTTCTTCCAGGTTCTAGATCTGCATGACAACCAGCTGGCATCACTTCCTACTGATATTGGTCAGCTGACATCTCTTCAGGTAAAGGATCTGCTGTATCCCAAGTTTCTGTAGATGGCATGTTAGGGGACAGCATGAAGGTGGGGTTTTACTGCTGTTTGTTTTATAGTTAAGTACAATGTAAATGGTGATCCTCAGGGTGTCAGATCTGTCTGAGTCACTGATCTGACTGTTGCTGTGTTGAGCTGGCTTGTCAAGGGGAGAGATCAGGAGAAGAGTGTACTGAATTCTATGGTCCCTGCTTAGTACAAGCAGTGTTACTCCAAATAGCTCACACTGCCAAGCGAGGGCTGTGAGTGAATAGAGCTGCAGTTTGCACTCCAGTTAATTTCCTAAAATGTTCAGGTTTTAGCATTCTCCCTGATGTGATTACACTCAGAGAACTCAACTCAGTGTGTCATAGTGCATTTCAGAGTGTCCCCTCTGCTTTGGGGTGCAGCTCTGCATGCACATCACTGCTGTTCAGTCATCTGCACCCTATGTGAGCTGGGGCAGCGTGGCTGGAGAGGCAAGTATGCTTGGCTTTCCAGTTCATGCATCTGCATTCAGCACCTGCTTTGGCTGTTGCTTGCAGATGCATGCAGTAGCTCGATGTACCCTGGATTCAGGGTGTCTAGGAAGTCAAATTTTCAGCCTGTGGATCCAAACAGTATTAACAGATATACATTTTTCCCTGGCAGATGATTAAGGACTCAATCTAAAAGCATTTTTGTTTTTGTAACCTGGAAAACTACTTTTAAATTGCCTTCTGGGGCTGCAGAATAGTCCCAATAGCATAGATATTGGGTGAAGACCTGAGACTTGTGTAAAGAATATTTTGATTATCTTTTCTGTTGATATCTTAGGTCCTAAACCTTGAAAGGAATCTCTTAAAATGTCTTCCACAATCTATAGGGGATCTTGCCCAGCTCCAGGTCCTCAATGTGAAAGGTATGACATGTTTCTTGTTGGCGCTGCAGGCAAAGTACCATTTATTTTCTGGGTTGTGTTGAGCTGCATTATAATTATACCTTCGAACCAAGGCAGGCACCAAGTGGTTTCCATTATGAATACTAAGGAAGAGCATAGGACAGACTTGAATTCAAATAGTTGGTAAGGCAGGAGAAATCTAAGTAGAAAATAATTCTGCAAATTTCCCCGAGTTATTAGGATTAACTAGGGTTGTTTGACTGCTTCTTAACAAATGTGCACGCTGTCTGCCTTGATTTTCTTCTGTGTGGTTCAACTCATGGCTCTTGAATGAGACAGTCATCATGAAACGATGATTCCTTTCATCCCACTGCCCCTTTTCCAAGGACAGGTTGTTGGGTCATTCCTGATCTCAACAGCTGAAAGCTTCGTTGTGTGCCTGCATGTAGCCAGCACTTCAGACCCAAGCTGACTCACTTGTGTGTTGAGGGGTGCCACAAGGGCTGGAGGCACGTCTTCCTCCAGAAGCATGAGACTCAGAGCTGGGCACCCAGAGCCCAGTCCTGTGAGCTTGTTCAATTAACCCTTCCAGGTTTGCACAGTCCTAGAACAGAGATCACAGACATACCTTTTTAGAATACGTTTGGGCACTGTGTCGTGAATCTGAGAGCAAAAAGAGGTGTTGTTACAGACAGCTGCTGCTGAAATGGGGAAGAGGATGAAGAGAAAGGAACTCAGAAGTGCAGCTTTTAGCTATATTCATCTGATCTCTGACCACTAAATTTGCAGTCCCACATTCACTTTCTTTTGTCTTGTTTCTGATACTTAAACTGAAGGGAGGAACATCCCACGTTACAAATATTGTCCTAATGAAGAGCAGACTGAGTCTGTTGCAGTGGCCTCAGCTGGGAAGGGCTGTTTTGGCTTGTGGTAGCACTGCTGGGTCTGTGCAGCTGGGCTGTGTGCAAGTGGATCATAGAATCATAGAATGGCGTGGGTTCAAAAGGAGCACAGTGCTCATCCAGTTCCAACCCCCTGCTGTGTGCAGGTCACCAACCAGCAGCCCAGGCTGCCCAGAGCCACATCCAGCCTGGCCTTGAATGCCTGCAGGGATGGGGCATCCACAACCTCCTTGGGCAGCCTGTTCCAGTGCCTCACCACCCTCTGGGTGAAAAACTTCCCCCTAATATCCAGCCTAAACCTCCTCTGTCTCAGTTTAAAACCATTCCCCCTTGTGCTATCACTATCCACCCTCATAAACAGCCATTCCCCCTCCTGTTTATCCACTCCCTTCAAGTACAGGAAGGCCACAATGAGGTCTCCCTGCAGCCTTCTCTCCTCCAAGCTAAACAAGCCCAGTTCCCTCAACCTTTCCTCACAGGAGAGGTGCTCCAGCCCTCTGATCATCTTAGTGGCCCTAAGATCTTGAGTCCCATTTACCTCTGTTGGCAGTGCAGTGTTTGCTGTCTTAGTGCACCCCATGACAACCGCATCCTTCCAGCACAGTATAGAAAATAACTCACAGAAGGCTCTTACAAATACACAATACAAATATAGATTTGTGTTGCAGTAGATGAGCTTGCTGGTTGCTGCTTCAGCAGTGCTATGTATTACTAAATGATTTTTCACTCCATAGGCAACAAGCTGAGGGAGCTGCCTGCTACAGTGAGTGGTCTGAGGAGTCTGCGCACTCTGAATATCAGTGAGAACCTCCTGCAGGAGCTGCCAAGAGTGCTGGCTCACATCCGCACGCTGGAGGTATGCACCCAGCCAGCCTGTCTGCCTGGCCTGTGCTGCCTGCTTGTTCTGCTGCAGGCTGCTGTCCTTCCTGCTTGCTCAATGATAATAAGTTCAGCTTCAAAAGTGAAATTCTAGGGCTTGGATGGCACTCACTGTAGGGGACTGCAGGTAGGGTGTATGTGGTTCATAGTGTCTAAAATCAATTTTGCGTTCTCACCTGCTTTGGTCTTTTCTGATCACTTTTTGCCAGGGTTTAATCACGGCAAAAGTGATCTGTAGGGAATAAGCCTCCAAATATTTTCAGCTGTGGCTGCTTCTGAGAGTCCAAACTGAGTCTATGGGCTCAATTTAACTCAGATACTTTCCACTCAGGCTGGTTCTAACTGAGCAGATTGAATGCTTCTGGTGAGGTTTTTGCCTCTGTTGCCTTAATAGATCTCTGACTCATTGTCAGCTCCCGTAGGTTTCTGGCTCCCTGGAGAGCACATTCAAAATGATACAAGCACCAGCATTTTTATGGGGATGTTACTTTCTGGCTGCCAAATTTGTCAGTACTAAACTGTGCAAGTGTCAGGCAGCAGAGCTGACTCAGACACCAGCACTGAGGACAGGAATAAATGCTGTCCTGTCCTGAGGACTCAGCATTAGGCTTCTCTTCTGTTGTAGGCAGGCTTTGAGAGTAGGGACCTGTGCAGCTTACTTCCTTGTGTTTGGGGAAGTGGTTCCTTTCTGGGTCTTCCTGCTAAGTCCTTCTCAGCAGGAGGCAATGTACCCTTTGTATTGCCATTCCTTCCATGCATGGTGTTCAAGGGCTCCAACAAACAGCAGTGCCTGTAACTGAGAAGTGCTTTGTCCTTAAAGACAAAATGCATGTGTTTACATGAGGGGGATGTTCTACTGAGAGACCAGCTCAGAAGTTCCTAAATAAGGTACAGCAAAGTCACCACACCTCTGAAAGTTGTCAGACACCCAGCAGGAGAACAGTACAGCCTTGTGTTTATGGCAGACTTCAGGGCAATGTGAAATTATCACACTGTAAGTGAAATTTTGGGAACCTGCAAGGCTAACTGGTTCTATTACCAGCAAAAGTGATCTACCTTTAATGTATTTCCTTTCCAGTAATTTTTCCTTTTAATAAATTCAAGAATTCAACTAGATGTGGATAACATAAATATTCCATCCACTACTCCACCTTCTTTATGAAGTCTTAAAGAACACCAGCACTATTAACATGCTAAGAGACAGGATTCTGTGGCTTGGTTATTATGGGGTACAAATTAAATCTTGCAGTTTATTTTCCTGGGTCCCAGGCTTGAAACAGTTGGACTCTGGCTGGGCTGTGACAATAACTTGGAGCTCTGTGTGTTCTGTTTTGGAGACACTGACCCTGGATGCTTCTTCCATGACCTACCCGTCACCTGATATTTGCAGTGCAGGTACAGAGTCCATTCAGCAGTTCCTCTGCAAAGGTAAGTGAGAAGAGTCTGTGAATGCTGGTGAGAGCTTGCAGGGCTGTGTTGTGCTCTAACTAGGTGCTACAGGACAAGCATGAGGGTGGTTCTGTTTCAGGTGGTTTCTGATGCTCTGCACACGGGGCAGGCAGGTCAAGTAGTTATGTGTCAGTAAGTCTTTGCTGGCAAACAGCGACACATGAGTCCTTCCTTGAAGTTTACTTCTCACTGTCAAACTGAAATGTAGAATGTTTTTGTTAAAACATCAGGACAGCTGACTTCCTGAGTGGAGTCCCCAGGAAGTCCCTGCATCTCTCTGTGCTTTTGTTTTCCCATTTGTATTTTCTCCAATGGGAGGTTTTGGAACCATCCAGATACAGCCGATGCTGCGGAGATAGACTCAGTAGGTCCCTTCTACCCTCATTTTCCATAGGGAAGGGCCAGTGGGCTGATATTTTCCTTAAAGAAATATGAAAACAGATTGAAATCTCAGAGGAAAAAAGCACTGGACTGTGAATTTATAAACAGTATATTTAATACAAAGCCTGGCAGAGATTTTATGCAGGTGAAGTGCATTGTGTTAAATGTTTGAAAGAAAAGGACTGTCAGAAGTTATTTGAATGTGAGCAAATTATCTTCTGAGCCCCACAGAAATGAATATGCCTGGATTCATGTACAGGAAGCTTTTCTCTCTGAGTTGGCCAGCAGAGCATCAGCCCAGCTCCAAGTGCTCAGTCTGTTTTTGGAGGGTATCCTTTCCTGTGATTTTAGAAATGGGAGCAGCACTCTCAGCTTCTCTGCTTCCTCCCTTCATGCTGTGCTTTCATCATCTTCCTGGTGGGAATGGGATGGCACTGTCTCTTCTCACAGCTTCTCGTTGCAAGACCTGCATTAGTTCTTATACCATCTATGCTTGGAGAGAGAGAGCACAGTTGGAAGCTGTCTCACACATAGGCCAACCTTCAGCCATGCTGCCAGGAGGTCTTTAGGCACCAAATGTCCTTGTTTTGCATCTGATCTCTTCCAGAGTGTGGAATTGCATACTACCCACCTTCAGAGTATGTGCTCCCTGTGCTGGAGAGTGATGGAGGAGAAACATCAGTGGATGGGGTGGACAGGACAGTGCACAGATACTTGGAGGAGGAGAGCAAGTGGCAGGTGAGGCTCCACTGCATGTGAAGCTGTGTGCCAGTTTTGGATTTGTCTCTCAGATGATCCAGTGGATCTCACAGCACTTTGCACATCATTCCTCATCACTGCCTACCAGTGAAACCTGTCATTTTGAAGCAAGGGAGCATCAGTACCAGAACCAGGCATGGCATCGTGGGTGTGGGTGGTTCATCTCTTCCCTGGGCAGCTGGGAATAATGTGATCATGTCTGACTCCTAGAAAATATGTTCCAGAGAACTGCCTCCATCCTTAGAGATTTTCATAACTTGGCAGGACAAGGAGCAGTCTGATCTGACTTTGACATTAGTGCTGTTGTGAGCAGGAGGAGGTTGGAGTACAGACCTCCAGAGATCTCTTCTGATTCCAGTTTTTCTATGATTGTGCATATTTCCTGAAATATATTAGTTTTAATCATTACCTTGAAAACAGCAGTGCAGAAAACACCAAGTGATTCACAGCCAAGTGCTGGACATTTCCAGCCCTCCCTGGGAAAGGTGAGGCTAGGCCTGTAATTATGACAAGTTCTGTTAATTCTTGTGCTGTTTGATAGCTGCAGAGTACATTTCTCTGGCCTGGATAAACATGAATGACTGGACTTTGGCAATATGTTAATCTTAATGTGCCTTTGGTTGACGTATTTACCCAATTAGGGAAAGATATAATGTGGGCTAATGATATCCATATCCATTGCTCCTAGAAGTAAATATCTCTTGATACTTCTATTTTTCAGAACAAATTCTCAGACTATGAGAAGAGGAAGGTAAGGATGAACCCCTGCAAATGCTTTGTCTGGAGAATTGGGACCATCTCTATTTCTTGTTTTCTATTTTTCTCAGCCAAAACTGAATGTTGACCTTGCAGAACATCCTCAAAACCCACTCACTCCTCACTGTAGAGCACAAGTGGGAGCATGGGGAAATTGCAGACTGTGTTGTCTGACACATAGCTGATGAGTGCAGAGTCTCTCATGAATGATCACTTCCAGTTTAAGTTAGTCCTTGTCTACAGAGTTGGATCTGGAAGCTTTTACACCAGAAAGCTTTTTGCTTTCCTCTCTGTGCTGAACACTCAGTTACTTTTCAGAGGTGGGCAGATGCAGGGCACAGACAATACTGAGCTCTGTGTAGAGGCAACACACAGACACGGAATCAGTTTTTCTCACATAAGCTCCTGTCAAGTGGCTTACTTTGTCCCTTTGCCTACACCTCTTAGCTGGCTGCTTCCCTTCACTCAGTTGTCTTCAGACAAGAGTCCCCTTGTCATCTGGAGCTGAGCACAACCTTAATTTTGAACTTCATTCCTACTGTTGAGTGTTTGTATTGGCTTGAAGCAGAAGTTCCCTGTGTTTCTGTTGTATGAGTTGATGCCTTGAGGTGTTGGCTTTGTGACTGTGAAAGGAATTGCAAGGAGTTGGGAGGCTGTCATAAAGAGAGCAGCAACTTCTGCCTCACAATTTTTGGTTTCCTAAGGACAGAACATTTCCATCCCCTTGTAAAGCCTCCTGGCTAGTCAAAGCCTTTTGGCTTTCTCTCTTGTAGTTGTGGGAATTAATGTGCCTTGTTTTGCATTGCCAGAATTTGTTCTTATTTGAAAAGGAGCAGAGCCAACACTGCTGATTCCTGGCATTCATCTTTCTTCTCAGGAAAAAAAAATGCAGGAGAAGCTTGAATTTGAGCGGCGCTTGAACATGGGGCAAAGAGAACACGCGCTGCTTGTTCAGCAGATCAACAATCAGAAGGATGAGATACTGCAGACAGTAAGAGAGGTAGGTCTCTTCTGGGCAGGAGCTCTAATCCCTACTCATTTGCTGAGCGAGGGCTGTGCCTCTGCTGCCACAGACAGAGTGGTGTTTCGAGTGTCCATGTGTGCAGAAACTTTCCTTGTAGAGACAGCAGCTCATTCACTGCCCTCAGTGTTTTGCTTCTGCTTTCTCTCTTGGGGTCATTAGGGATACTGTAACTGTCATTTGACAGGTGGCTGTTTTGATTGTACAAATTGGAGCACTTTTTTTTTTTTAATCTTTCCCATAATTGCTTGACTTCACAGATTTTCAACAACATCTCCTTGGAAGCACCTTGGAGTGATTCTTCTTTTCCTTTGTGTTTAGGCTGCCCCATCTGATGAGAGTTCTTTTTCTCATAACATCTCCCAGGAGCTGCCTGGGTCACTGCAACCAAACCCTCCATGATCTGCCTCTGTACAAGACACCACCTTTCCTAAACTGACCATATTCTCCTTTGGTTCTTTTACCTTGGCCTAGGATCAGATGAGGTTGGAAGAGGGCCTGACAAAGCACCAGCGCCATTTGGAGGAGGAGCGCCTGAAACTGCTGCAGCAGCTGAAGCAAGCAGAGCAAGGCATTGCCAGCCGTATCCAGAAGCTGATAGAGGACAATCAGAGGTGAGGCAGTCACAGGACATCCTGCAGTGAGCTCTGTCCACAGGGGGCTCGTGTCATGCTCTGAATTGTTCATTTTGGCCTCTCTGACTTTTAATAGAGCTGGTCAGTCCTGATACTTAAGTGAAGTGGTATGTCCCTGATGTGGAGTGCATGTTGCTACTGTGGTCCCTATTCAGCCTGCAGCCTTTGGACAGAGCTCCCCAAAAGGCCTGCAGGCTTGATTACAGAGCTAGACTGTCCCTGCAAGCCTGTGCTGTGCAGACAAAGCCAGTGGAATTGTACAGACCTCTGCTGTCCTTGCTGCGGACGTGGTTGCTTCTTCCCTTCTCATGTGTATTAGCTACACTGAGTTTGTCTGCACTCAAGTATGTGCTCATAGATTTGCAAATAAAGATACCACTTTCCCAGCTGCCACTTCTAGCAGAACAGGATCAGTGTCTATGGATGGAGTGTTGGCTGCTGAACTGCCAAAATCCCACTTAAATGAAGTGGAATTTGGCACCTCAGAAGAATATTTCACACATCTGTGCTTTTGAAGTTTTGTGGTGCTGTGGAAAAATTTGAATTCCTCATGGAAGTTACATATTTGAACAGCGGTTCTAAGTGTTCTTCCTTAGTGCTCCTTCTGGAAGGTACATATTTGAGCACTGATGTGGGTCTGCTGGATCTCCTGTAGTGCTGTGCAAGGTTACATGCCTGCTAAAGTCTGGTCTTCTGTGTGTTAGAAGCAAAGTTGTTTTCTGCTTACTGGGGGAATAAGATGTGCTGCTTAGCCTTATGAAAACCTTTTGTTTTATCTTTATTTAGGCAAAAGCAAAGTTCAGACATCCTGAAATCCTTGGAGAATGAGAGGTGAGTAACCTTGAAATGAATTTTTCAGGAAAATGATCAAGGAAGAGTTTTGGGACCCTCAGTTCAGACCCCGCAGTTTGAATTCATGCTAAGTCAGAGGGGTCATTCTCTTATTTGCTGACTGAAAGGTTTCCTGCTGCTTTGGCTGCAGCAGCTGATTCTGGTCACTTGGAAGCAAGATAGATGTGCTTGGTTTTACCCAGTTTGGCAGACCCTGTGAGCTGGTGACTGCACCTCTTTTTCATCTCAGGATGGTCCTAGCTAAGGAGTTTGGGAACAAAACCCTGTATTCTACTATCAGGGGCCATGAGAAATCTGTTGGAAAGCAAGGCACCTATAGAAGTGGTCAAGTAATGTGTACAGGAGGAATACACCAAACTCAATGCTGCCATTCAGCCAACACTTGATCTGGCTTTGCCCCTAAAATTGGTTTTCTCTCCTCTACTTTTATATTGCCTCCTGCTTCCATCAAGTGTTTGTGCTGTGACAGAGTAAACTGACCTGGCTGAAAAATATTCTCTTTGTATGGCAGATAGTTTTTATGTCAAACCAATTCCCAGAAGGCTGAGTGGTGATGTGTGTAATTGTGCTGGGACAAGGACAGGGAGGTGGGAGGGAGATGAGGCTCCTGCTTTTAGTGGCAGTGCTTGCTGCAGTCAGCTTTAAAGTGCTCCTCAAGCCTCAAGAGAAGGAAGCTGGTTTCCCAGATCCTTGTTTGGTCTTCTGGGATGAACTTTCTATTATAAAAAGCAGTTGTTCCCATGGTTTTGAGGAAAATTTTATTTTTTAATAGACTTAGAGTACCCTTTCCAAGAAATCACTGTGACTTTTGAGTCTCTGATGAACACATGGCTTTCCTGTACAGGTTGCTTGATGAATCTGCCCAGCCTTGGGTTCTGAGCTGAGTGAGCAGGAGAAGAGTGAGATAGTGTTTCTTTGAATGACTGGCTGAATTATTCTTGTTTGCTTGCTAGAATAAGGATGGAACAGCTGATGGCAATCACACAGGAGGAGACAGAGCATCTGCGCAGAAGGGAAGTGGCCTGTAAGTCCAAGTAACTGTTTGGGATAGTAGGTTACTGGAAAGACCTGGTTCCTTTGGAGATGCCCTGAAGGATGATTACTGTGTGGGAGATGCTCTGCTACACACACATTCTTGCTGTTTGTTGCTTCATGCAGTAGGGCAAACTGGAAGGGAGTAACATTGTACACATACCAGAGCTGATCAGTGCTCCCACCTGCAGCTCACTGCTGATTCTCAGGTGTGAGCCATGCCCCTGATGTAGCTAGAGTGTGTTGCACAAGCAGTCTGAAACTGCATCCTGTGTGCACACAAAGTACTTTCTATTTTAGAGGTACCAAGCAGATGTTAACTGGTCAGGTTTGTGAGGCAGGAGCATGTTAGGAGGTAAGCAACGATGCCACAACGGAACCATTTCTGCTCATTGTGAGCATGAATGGATCTACTGGGATTACAATGGAAATGATGTGTGTGTTATCACCCCAGGAGTGGATGGTTCACAGCAGTACAGACAGGGCTGTAGCCTGTCCAAGGCACTGATTTTGCTTCTCCAAATACTGAAGAGATGCAATTAGAATAGGATTTATTTATGCGATTTTCCGATAAATAGCCACAATTCTTGCAGCTGAATGAATCTCCTCATAAATGAATGAGATGGGAACAATGAGAACAGGTTGAAATGAGAGAAAAGGCACTATTAATTGCAAGTTATTCTTGCAGCAGTGGCAGATTAGTGTCTCTTCCAGAGATGAGCTCCTGATACAGACTGACAGCACTTCTGTCTCCTAGCTGCCATGCAACAAATGCTGGCTGAGAGCTACAAGAACAAGCTCATCCAAATGACCTATGAATCTCGTCGGCAAGACCTTGTCAGCCAGGCCTGCTCCAGGTATGCTGGGAGATCTCTGGGGCTGGAGATGCTGTTGTTGTAAAGTTCCTTTCTTGCCAGCAGTCTCTGGTGTGATTCCCATGTAAACAGCCAGGAATTTCTGCAGCTGCTGGAGTGCAGCAGGACAGCTCCGTGTGAACCAGGTGACAGTGCAAATTAAAGAAGCATGGTTAAATGAACCACCTTCTAACCACAAGAATATGAAATGTTAATCATGCTTTGCAATTGTCACATTTTTATACCATTTATTTTACCTTATACATCCTGCTAAGTATGGAGGATGAAATTAGACTGATCTTTTTGTTATTTGGTTAGTCAGTGTCAAACTGTAGCACAGATCTTCCTAGGACTATCTAGAGGATTACATTTCTTTTTCCATCATATTAAAAAAAACTTCTATTGGAGAAGGTAATAATTATGGTGCAGAACTTCTCCTACTGGAAGCTAGAGCCTTTCATGTGTTGCACTCTAGTGGAATTTTGATAGTTCTGCTGGACAAATTACAGAGCAGGCTGAGGTTCTCATGGTCAGTTATACAGTCACATTCTGTTTCATAAAAACAAGGCTCTATTCTCAGATGTGGTCCTTCTTGCAGGGTCTTTGGGGAAGGGAAGCAAGCTGAGAAATTAGGAGAAAAAAATGGAACTTTTGAACTTTGTTGCCCATAGAGCTATGAGACCTTGTGACATGCAAGCTGGGATGTGTCACTCCAGGAACCAGTGTGAAAATTTCCATCTCTGTGAGCAGTGAAATTGAGCAGTGATGAGCCAGGTGGAATTGAGCAGTGTTACAACAGAACAGTTGAAATCATTTCACATTTTGTAATATGTGAAGGAGGCACAGAATATTAAAAATTCTTTAGACTTGAAGGATTATTTGGGCACAGTTTGTGTATGTGTAGGACACTGCTATAAATGAAGAAAATTCTGGTTCTTTCTATTTACAAGGATGTGAAAAATGTAATCTGGAGGTGTTTGACAGACAGAATTAACGTTGTGCACCCATGCTCTGCCCAACAGAGGGCAGTGGGTAGACACAGTCCTGCCTGCAGGTGCAGGGAATACATGACCCCGCTGTCTGGACCTTTCTCAGCACAGCTTTTCCAGTGCAGAACACTGATGTGCAAATTCATCACCTGAGCAGCTTGCTGGGGCAACCATGCCCCTATTTGGACTTGCAGCAACTCCTTGACAAATATATTTTCTTGCAGCCTTGCTGAGATGGATCAGAAGTTCCAGCAAATCCTGGCTTGGCAACAGATGGATCAGAACAAAGCTGTTAGTCAGATCTTACAGCAGGTAGGCAAGAGAGCAAATTGCATGCAGGGAGAGACTGAAGAAAGGCAGTAGGATTCAAAAGCAGAGTTGAGAGTGACAGGCATGGGAGCAGTGGTTGCAGGGCTGGGCTGTTTGCAAGAATTGTTTTATAGAACACTATTGGTTTAACTTGGAGACAGGTGTTCTAACAAACTGGCTTTGGTATCTGAGAGAAAAATGTGTTTATACTTTAACTAGACAGCAACTTTTCATAAAGGACAGCAGCACAGACCATGGGAAGCAAAAGTGGTGTGATGATTAATGCAGAGGATTTTAAGATTTGAGAGAGTTTTGAGAAGTCCTGTCTTTTTGGCAGGCTTTTGGACAAGCTGCCTGGATACCTGTGGGATGCATTTTCTAAGCATCTTCTGCTTTCTTCTGCTTTTGAATACCTCATTTTGAACCCGAGATCTCTTCAGCTCATTTTTTAGAAGTGCTGGGAAGTCATGCCTTGTTGCACAGCCTGGGTACTCAGTGCTGCTGAAAACGAGAAGTGGGGTTCATATACAGCACTCAACGTGTGTGTTTGAAGAACATGACTGTAACTTCTGTCATTCTGTAAGGAGGGTTTTACACCTTCTGGTCAGAGATGTTTACCTTCTGGTGAGATCTAAGTCATGTTGTAATGTGAGCACTGTTAAAAATGCAGAGTTAGCATTGCTCATTTGTCCTTGAGCCACTGCAAGGCAGCAGGGTTTCTTTAGGCCGATCTGCATGAACGATCTGCACTAAGCAGAATGTTGTCTGTCCCTTAGAGTGAGATGCAGAAAGCTGCCTTTGAAGCTCTCCAAGTGAAGAAGGATCTTATGCACAGACAGATCAGGAACCAGGTGAGTCAGCAGTAGAGGAAAGAGCAACCAGCTCCTCATCATTTGCTGAGACCCTTATGAGGAAGATCAAAGTGCTGTGAGCACAGAGCAGGAAGGAAATGGAGAGCTCTTGTATTGCTGAGAGCTCTGTAACAAAGCATTGTGCAGTGTGAGATAAACTACAGTCTTCCAGTACCATAGGAGAGAGTATAAAGACAGATTTTACATTTGTGGACTTAGTAGGATTGCCATTGCTTTGGTCATCTCAAAACTGCTCTGGGTGAAATGCTGGAAAGTGGTCAGTAGAGGACAGACCTGCATTGGCTCTGTAGGGGTGGTCTGCAATTGCAGTTACCAGTTTCCTTCAGGTTTCCTTGGTAGGGCTGTTGTTTTCATATGAGTCCACTGCATCTCCATCTAGCACACTGTAACTGCACCTTGAGCCATAAGTTCACCTTTTATTTCCCATTCTCAGCCTGCCTTTCTGAGCAACGTTCTGCAAAAGGTGAAACAAAATAGTCAGGGGAAGAACAAGAGCTGCTGGGGAGGTAGCAGTGATTGATGTGTGGAGGTGGGTAGCTGGTTTCTGACACAGTGTTCCAGTTGCTTCCCTCTCTTGATCTGACACTAGGAGAAAAGTCTCATGTCTGGAATTGGTAGATAAGCTCAAGGGCTTTGATATATTCAGTCACTTGGTGACCAATCTTTGCACTGTGCTTAAAACCTATGGATTTTGCACAGACAATCCAGAAGATGAATCTTACAGCCTTCCATTGCCTGAGATCACTAGGAGCCCAGCAGTTTTTGCTTGCTCTTGCTTTGTAAACAAAGGGAGTTTGTTTCTTGATACCCTAGGCTGGGCCTTTTACTATTGAAACCCATCCCACCAGCATCCTGTAGGGCAGGGGCTGGAGGTACAGCCTGCACAAAGCTTCAGTGTCAGCAGGAATTTGGTGGTAGGTGGCACACAGGAAGCAGCATGGCCTGGGATGAACAGATAGCCAGGCTGGTAAGGGAGCTGGGCTCTCTTCTTGGCTTTGCTGTGGGATCTTGGGTAGCTCACTTCACCTCTCTGTGTCTCAGTTACCCTGACTGAAAGAGCATGTATCATGATGGGAATTGCTGCAGCAGCTGGGATCCATGACAGAGCCCCCAGTCCATCTGCAGTTTGAACACTGGTGCAAAGAGGATTTTGATAACACTTAGCTGCTTTCCAGAGTGGCTGCAGGGTTTGGCTGAACGAACTGATTGCACTGTGCTTCTGGTCTTGAACAGGTGTTTAGTGTAGAGAGTGGGAGGCACTTCTTCAGGCATGTGAGACAAAGAGCAGCCACAAAGCACGTGTTATGGTAGGGCACTAACATTCCCAAGCTTGTGGGCAGCTCTGCAGTGTTGTCCCTCCAAGGCCAGTAGTTAGACCTCATTTTGAAAGAGTGTGAATTAAAATCATTTCAAATGTCAGTAAAAAAATGTTTCATCTTCTGTTTAGATTAAATTAATAGAAACAGAGTTATTGCAGCTGACACAGCTGGAGTTAAAGAGGCAAGAACTGGACACAGAGACGCTGCAGGTATGTAGGGCTCTGGGACTGCCCCACCACCCTCTCTCTGCTCTGGGATGGCAAAAGCTTCACTTGCTTCTCTGGCTTCTTGCAGTTTCCTGGTGGTTTGTGCTTAGTCAGAGGGTACTTAACCCCAGGACACCAAAAAAACCTCTTTGTCTTGGTGATATGGAAACACTGCTGCTGCTTTTAAACTTCCTGATGAATTGCAGGAAAGAGACAAGTAACCTGGCCTCCATAGAAGTGGGCAGCTGTAGGCTTGCTGTGTGAGGAAGGATTTTGCAACCCAGTCGTTGTCTGTCCCAGAAATCCCTGCTAAACATCCCATATCTTCTCACATGTTGTGTTTGGTTTTAAATACCCGACAACAATGGTTGCCAGCTCTTCTCCTTCATTTCTAGGCTATGACTCTTAGGCTCTTCCACGCCACCATCCCACCATTCAATGGGTTGACTTCATCAGCAGTCACACATTGAGAAATCTCAGTGTTTGGCTTAAGCAGCTTGGCTTTAAATTTTGTTGATACACCTTTGCATCAGTTTTTGCCTTGTGTGCACTGTTTCCCAGTTTAGGTCACCTCTTTAGTCAGCCCAAGAAAATGAGGATGTATTCCAGTCCCTGTCTGTGTGTCTGTTGGGACACAGTATGTTTGCAGCTATACCACTGCTCACCAGGAGAGCAGACTTGAGACAACTTCATCTGCCTGCATCCCCTTTGCTGTTTGGTGGTCTGCAGCCCAAAATATCCTGCTGCCATTGAGCCCTTATTGCTCAGGCAGTGCCCACAAAGTGCTTTGGCAGAAGTGTTCCTGCAGTCATGTTTGATACCCACTGTGCAGCAGATTGTTGCTCCTCCTGTAAGATACAGGTGCTTTAGTATTGAGCTTGGTGAATCACAGGAAGGCAGGAAGAACAGCAACAAAAAAAGCCCTGAGAAAGGGAGGTGTTTGCACCAGTTATTTTTTGCAAGGTTGGTTTGGGAGAGACCAGTGCTGACAGGGTGTCCACAGCAGCTGTTGTCGCTCCTTTGCATGTCTGCAGGCTCCTAGATGTAGTTTCAGGTGGTTCTTCATTAAGGAGGACCACAAACACTTCTGATGCCACTGAATGAACTTTTAGTGCAGTGATGAAGAGCTGCTGCAGGCCAGCACAGTCTGGGGCTGCTCAGTGTGTGCTGAGGATTAGCACCACTGGTGAATGGTCAGTGCAGGACCAAAAGAAGTAGGTTTGCCATGCCAAAGAGAGGATTGAGGCCATCTGCTCAACTGTGCTGTGGGGCACATGCAGCACAGGACTTTAACATTTGCTGTGACAGTTCTGGGTAAATGGTAAGTGCTTTGCTGGAAATCAGGGCAGGGGTTTCCTGCAGACCTGTGGTCTGGAGAAATGGATGCCAGAGTCCTTCTGTTGCAGGGGGTGATCATGGAGCAACGCCGAGCACTTGGTTACCTGCTGCAGCAGCTGCTCAAAGAAAAGAAGCAAAGGGAAGAAGAATTGCAACAAATCCTGGTAACGAAGGCCCCTAATTCTGGGCTGTGGATGAGGAAGCACAAAGGCTTTCTGCAGGGAGAGAATCCATGGGTCAACGTAGGGATAAAGAAGAGCAGGGAGGGGCTCTGAGTGGTTTTGTCCAGACTCAGACTTCAGAAAGTGCTGATGTAAGCTCTTGGGGCATGGTTACCTCTGGACCCTGGTGCAGTGTGAGGCATTGTTATCTGAAATGTCCCTACTTCCCCCATCTGGGGATGATCTTTCCCATTTCTGGGGACATCACAGGAAAGAATGAGCACGATCCTACTGGGCATCTGCATGTGGCCTTGTAATTCTGAAGATGTCCAGACTGTCCTGAGCTTCAGAACACAGGCTGGGCTTCAATACACAGGGCAAAGTGAGCAGAGGGATGCAGAGTTCTAGGGTGTGGGATGTGGGGATCAAAGTGGGGCCAGCCTGGCAGTCCTCTGAGCCAGCCCTACACTGCCAGGCTGCTGATTTCCCCTTACACATACAATTCAGGCTGCTCTAAATAGCACTCACTACGTTATCTCAGGCTGTTGAGTGAATGAGTTTGTTTTTCAGTTGGAAATGGAAGCAAAGAGTGAAACCAAACAGGAGAACTACTGGCTGATCCAGTACCAGCGCCTGCTGAACCAGAAGCCACTCTCCCTGAAACTCCAGGTTGCTGCTGTGTTTATTGCTTCCACTGTAGTATGCACACTAACAAAATGCTCTGCTTGACAGGTGCAGAGGAAGGAAAATTTTGTTTCACCCAAACCTCTGAACAGCTCTGCTTGGCTGCCTTGTGCTTTACAGTAGTGAGCCAGGGACTTTGTGCCATGAAAACAGCTGCGGGGCTGCCCCAGAGAGATTGCTCTGAGCTCCAGCCCTGCTGTGTGTCAGCTCAGGTTGGCAGAGCAGGTGCTGCTGCAGACATCAGGTGCCAAAATTGCTGTGTTTCATTCTTCCAAAACCAAGGTGTTTTGAATTTTGTTCATAAAGTATTTGTGGCCAGAGCTCCTCTGACTGTTGAGCTTTTGAGTTTTAGTGTCTTCATGGAAGCAAAATGCCGTGTTCCTGAGGGCAGGACTATGTGCATTGCCTGTCCTTGCTGCCAGCCATGCGTGGTGTCAGACAGCAGTGTGCCCCACACCTTTTCTCTGGAGCGAAGTCTGAGAGCTCGCCTTGTGTTTTGCAGGAGGAGGGCTTGGAGAAGCAGCTGGTGAACCTTTTAATCGAGCTGTCAGCTGAACAGTATGTGCCTGTCTTTGCACACCATCGAATTTCCTTGGAAGTGCTCAACACCATGACTGCCAGTGACCTGGAAAAGGTACGAGGCAGCAGATAAGCAGTACAGGGCAATGCTGCACTGCATCTGACCCTGCTGAGCCGTGCTCATGCTTGTGCCCACAACAGATCATGCAGGATGGAGTGTTGGTGCTCCTGGTGTGCCACATCTGTGCAGAGGGAGGTGCTGATGTTACTCTGTGCCTTGTCCAAGCAAGTCACAGCTTTTCCAGAGCACCTGCAGAGCTCTGCCTTTCAGCATCCCTCAGATGTGCTTTGTAGCTCAACAGAGGGCACATGGGAATTCCTTCATTCCAGCTTTGATGCCTGATGGAGATTCTTCCCTTGACATGAACAGGTCTTGCCAGTATGGCCAAAGAGTTTGCATTGTTCTCTTGGAGGCGTCTCCTTTCTCAGCCCCTTCTGTGCTTTCTCATCTGAGTGCTGACAGCCCTCCTTTTGCACTGCAGATGGGCATTGCAGAGACTGGCCTGCAGCGTGCCATCCTCAGGCGGGCGCAGGAGATCCTGGCTGTAGCAAAGACAATCCCAGGTACGAGCAGTTCTTTTCTGCCCGCTCCTTGACATGTGGTGTGGTAGCAGTGGGTACCTGAGCCTTGAATGGGGAGATCTGCAGGGCCAGATGCCTACCTATGGGGAGTAGAGCTGATCGAGGTTTGTGTGCCCGTGGGAGAGGCAGGGTGTGCTGTGCTGTCACCACTGACTCTCAGAGTACTGAGCTCCCATGGGCACGCAGCTGCTCCTGAATGGGTGGGAGATAGAAGCTCTGTCCTCGAGCTCAGACCTCGGCTTGTGCTTGCAGAGCTGCTGAGGACGGTGGACGCCGAGGTCCCTGCAGCCACACAACCCAGTGCCCCTGAGGAGGAGACCCCGAGTTCTGTGGTCCCCACTGCTCCCCTGCTGCAGTGGGATGAGAAGAAGTCAGAGTGCGTTGTCTGCATGGAGCAGGAGGTGAGAGCCCAGCATGTGTGCTGCCAGAGCAGGGGTGAGTGAGGGCCAGCTGGGATGTGGCAGTGGGCAGTGCTCTTCCTCAGGCCTGTTTCACTGTGCATTCTTTGCACAGTGCAGGGGCTCAGTGTGCTGGCACTCTGAAAGCTGTAGGTGTTGCCCGTCATCTCAGCTTCCTCCTGTACTTTGTCTAAGTGTGGTGGTGCTGAGATTACGGTGCAGCAGCACTGTTCATGTCTTCTGCTCTCTCCTTCCACAGGCCCAGATGATTTTCCTGCCTTGTGGCCATGTGTGCTGCTGCCAGACCTGCTGCAAGAGGCTACAGACCTGTCCCCTGTGCCGTGGGGACATCACTCAGCACGTCCGCATCTTCTACAGCAGCTAGGCAGGCTGGAGGAAGGCATGGCTGCCCAGCACCACCCTCATCACTCCGTCCCAGGGCAGGGCTCCTCTATCAGTATTAAATACACTCTCACAGCATGACCAGTGCTGCCCTCTCCCTGCACACAGCCCCGGCTGGCTGCTGGATGCACCCAGAGCTCTCAGCTCTCAGCACCATCCCGGTGGTTTTCCAGGCTTTGGCTTGGGTTCTTCATCTGCGTGCACCATCCAGCCTGGGAGCACTGGGTGATGGCATTGGGTATACTGGTGCTTGCTCCTCTCTGGCTATATATTTGCCATTGGAATTGCCTGTTGCTCAGCAGGGACACAGTGCCATTGCTTCTGAAGCCACCGGGCCCCTGCAGCTGCTGTATGATGGCCATGGACTGCCATTCTTCTGCTCTGGTGAATTCTCCTCCAAGAGAATAGAATTGTCCAGGGCCTCGTTAATGCTTTGGGAGGCTGAGAGTGCCTTGCTTGTGTGTTGTTGCCATAGGCAAGACTTCTGCTCTTGCAGGCAGTGGCAGCATGGCTGGGGGGCTGCAGCAGGAGGCAGGGCAGAGTGAGGTGCTTCCCCTCCCTCACTGTCAATCCCATTGAAGAGCAGCATCTGCAGCAGCTTCACAACCAGTGCTTGAGAGACAGCTCTGGCTAGAAGACATTCCTCACTGAGATGTGTTGTGTGGGGGAAATGTTCCTGCCACAGAGTTCCAGCTCTGCCTCGTGTGCGTGTGTTGGCATCTGGGTTGTTCCCCATTGTCATTAATAAGTAACGATCCCAGTGGGGCTTTTAGTCTCTTGACCTCAAGTATAAAACACAGAGATAAGTCTGGTCCTGCTGCAGCCCTTTCCCCCAGGAGAAGCTATTAAATACAGCTGGTTCCTGCTGGTTGTTCGATCCCTTTTTATTGCCCCATGCCTGGCTGTCCCAGTAGCACCTCCTCCTGGCCCAGATAAAGACACGGAAAAATCTGATGATTTGGACGCAGTACCGATGACTTCCAGACAGCTGGAGACCTCAGGGACCTCTGCTGCCATCGTGTTCTGTTTACTGTGCTCTGGCAGAGCATCCATGCAGCACCACAGCCTGGAAATGGGGCTGGCAGGGAGCCGGGCGCTGCCAGGAAAGCAGCGGTGTGAGAGCCCTGATGGCTGCGCCTCTGTTTGCACGGAGCTGTGACCGCAGGGAACGGGCAGGTCCGTTCCGGAGCCTTTAGCACCTTTAGCACACAGCGCAGAGGGGCTCAGCCTCGCGTCCCCTCGCCTGGCAGGGCATGGAGGTGCCCGGCATCTCGTGGGGATGGGAGCAGTGGGGTGCCAGCTGGTGGGGCAGCAGGGCGGCTGGCAGCTCACAGCGCTGCTCTCGTGTTGCCCCGCGGGGAGGAGTTGTCACAGCTGCTCTCATCGAGGTGCCAGCGGCTGCCGGCTGACTCCGGTGTTCCCGAGGAGGTGGTAATGAGTGACGAGCCCTCGGGCAAGGTCCGCTGCCTGCCCATAACGCACTGTGCCAGGAAAGCCCGGGGCAGGAGGAGCTGCCATCATCCCCAGGGCCAGCCCTGCTCAGCTGCACAGGGGGACCCCAGGTTAGGGGTGATGTGATGCTGAGCACTGACGGCCCCTGGGCTGGGCACGCAGGGCTCGGTGAGCTCGTTGTAAAACAAAACAAGACCAACACGTTGTGCTTAAGGAATACTTGGAATATCGTGGTTCCGTAAAGGAAAAGAAGGAAAGAAGCATTTTGTTTCACGGACCGTGGGCAGATAACTTATCACGTGGCCGCGCACTGGGGTTGGTCATCCATCATTACGCACCACCGGAGGGAACGCTGGCTCCGTCTCCTGCTTTCGGGGCCACCGGGGCACCCGGAGCTCCACAGCAGCCCCGGGCAGCGGAGGAGGAGCCGGAGCAGCGCCGCCGGGCACCCCGGGGCCGGGCTGAAGTTCAGCCCCCGCCTTCCAGGGCACGGCCGGCAGCGGCCTCCGGCCTTCAAAAGCACGAGCAGCCGCGTGGCGCTGCCCGGGAGCGGCATGGCGGCGGGGCCGGAGAGCGGCGGGGAGTGCGGGATCTGCTATGAGGCGTACCGGGGCGTCAGGGCGCCCCAGCGGCTGCCCTGCAGTCACTCCCTCTGCCAGAACTGCCTGCGCAAGCTGGTGTGCCGCGCTGCCTCCGTCGCCTTCGTCAGCTGCCCCTTCTGCAGGACGGTGACGCTGGTGCCCGAGATGGCCCCGGGAGGCCGCGGGTTGACGCCGATCCCGGGGACCCCGCACCGCACCCAGCTCACGGCCGGGGAGGAGGAGGAAGAGGATGAAGGCAGCGGTGCCCATCGGGCCTCAAGGCGCTCCGTGGCCTTGGAGGTGGCCTGCGCAGCCCACGCTCCCATCTTTACGGTGAGCGGCATGGTGGCCCCCTGCAGCCTCCGCCGTGGCCCCGAGGCACCGGGAGCCTTCGTGCTGGGGCTGCCAGGCAGGGGGCTGCTGCTGGACTCGCAGCCGCCCCTCACCTCCGTGGAGAACCTGCGCCTCGGCTTCGCCGCCGGCATCCTCATCCTCATCGTCGCCACCTTCTTCCTGCTCGTCTTCCTCAAGTAGCACGGAAGGCTCAGGGCCGGCGCTGCGGACCCCACCATCCCCTGTTGGGGCCCGGCTCGCCTCCAGGCAGCAGCACGGACCCGCAGCCGGGTCAGGAATTCGGGCTCAGGCCCGGTGCACGCATCGGATCGCAGTGAGGTGGGGGCAGGACGGGGGCTCCGCTTCCCCCAGGATCGGCCCCGTGCCGTGGGAGCTGCAGCGCGCTCAGCCGTGGCCGTGCGGCACCAACGTGGACCCCAGGGCATCAGACTTACTAAAAATTAACAGGTTTCATGCTTTCCTTCACCCCCTGGGACCTGGCTGTGCTCACGCTGCGTTTATGACTTTCCCGGAGCCTGCGGCCATCCCGGCAGCGGGAGTCACAACACCCTGGAACATTCCTTGGGCTGCATCCACGCCCGGCATCCCGGCGGGAGGGCCGTGGGCAGCGGGGGCTGCGGCTGTGCCGCCCCGCAGGGCGCTGAGGGCGATCCGCAGGGATCTGCAGTGCCTTGGTGCGCTTCAGGGGTCAGAGATGGGCATCACCCAGCCCAGCTGGCTGCGAGGACCACAGGAGATGGGATGGGAAAGGTCTGTGCTGTTTTTCTGTTGGCGAAATGTTGTCAAAAAGCAACTTCCTGTGCTTTCTCCCTGCGGTGCTCAGAGCAGAGCCAAGGCCCCACAGTGGGCGCAGGGACGTGGCAGCTGGGGAAGGGCAGCAGGGAAAGATGAGATATTAAAAATGCACATTGGTCCAGAGCTGTCTCCAGTCATTTTTCCCTGCACCTGAGGCAGAGAGAGCTTTGCAGCCAAGGGGTTCAGGAGCACAAGGTGCCATCCCTCTCCCAGCAGCCAGCACAGGGGCTGGGCACTGTAAGCAGTGACACAGGGCGAGGATCCTCACCTTCCCCCCGGGCACATCCCACCATGTCCTTGTAGGAAGTGTTTCTAGATCTTTTTTTTCCTAGTTTAAGTAAGGGGTAGCTCAGGTTTTAAGTGCACACAACTGGATTATAGTAAAGCCACCCACAAGCAGAAAGTACAGGTTTAATTGCACTTTATTTATCAAGAAATGAAATGCAAGTCCTTCAGGCTACCTGTAACAGGAAACAAGAAGTGCAGGTTGCAACTACCACACTCCACGGGGCACTGCTGCAGCAGAGAGGCTGGAGCCACAGCAGGGTTTGTGCACTCAGACACCATCAACCTTCAGCACCGAGATACGAATCGGTTCTTTGATATCTAGAGCAGCTGTTAGGAAACCTCAGCCACGCTCACCCTATGACAGCAGCACAGCCCCAGCAGCTACTTGGCTGCTGCTCAACAGACTTCAGTCTCCTCCCCAGTTTCAGCTGCTTTTGGCCATTTGCCACACAGAGCACTGGACAGGGAGCTGACAGATGGCTGCACACAGACACTTCTTTTCCCCCCCCCAAAAGATGGCACAGGCCAAATTCAGTGGAAGCTAACAGTCGGTGGAACTATCCTAGTAACTTCCATCTTATTAATGGAACAGGGGTATGCGTGTTACTTGTTTTAACAACACTATCTACTGTTCCTACTTCTAAGTTGCTTAAGTGCAGTGAGAAATAGAAGTGCCACAAAAAATCCAACCAGTCTGCACAGCTGTCTCTCCTCACTGCCCTCCTCCCCGCTCCACTCAGACTGAGCAGCTGAACTGCACACCTGGCTCCCCGCAGAGCCCAGCTGAGGCTGCATTACAGCACACCCGGCCACCACTCCATTCACTCGTGCTGCATTCATCACAGCAAGAGAAAAAGGCACAGGAGAGAGGCTGGGCTGGCTGCAGCAGACAGAATTATTTCCAAGAGATCTTCACTTTTAGTCCGACTTCTATAAAAGTAGTTACCTACTGCAGGGTCCTACCAGACTTGTTCTTCTGAAGCACTTTATGTAGTTCAAATTTGCATAAAGTTTCATATTAATCAATGGTTCACAGAAGGACATCAATACTAACATGCAGTGAGACCGGTCAGTTCCTTCAGCTCATCCCAACCTCTGTGCATGTCTGTCAGATCAGAACAACAGGTCTGAGTGCCCAAGAGTGCAAAGAGAGACTCCTGCTCTCAGGCCCTGTCAGTCTGCAGTAGAAGAGCCTGAGGAGTCCTTGGTTGTTCACAGCTGTCCCACAAATGCAGCTCATTAAGTGCTATGTGCAGAGGGAGTGGCCATGCCCACAGGAAGCCTCATGGGCTCAGCAGGCAGCTCTTCATCCCAGCCAGTCCAGGTCATCATCGTCATCATCACCAAAGAGTGGAGCTGGAGGGGGGCGACCCTTCATGCTCTGGAAATCAAAGCAGAGGGAAACTTGTCAGCCTTACCAGCTTCCCAGTATTCACTAACTGCCACACAGCTCTGACTTGGAAATCTACATCAGCTTTTAGGAGATGATAAATAAGAAGCATCATTATTGATGTTTTTATGTTTATCATATGATGGCTTAATCTTTCAGGAAAGGTGCTTAGAGCTGAAGAGATAGGAGGGAGTAGGAAAACAAACCCCCCCTTATTTAACCCATGACCTTTTCCTAATGCCATGCAAGCAGGAGTTTGTTGTCACCATTTCAGCCTGTGCAACACCTCCAATTGCAGTGAGAAACAACCCAGAAGCTGAATTTATACAAAGAAGTGTCTGGGAAGCTCCAAGCTTCCCAGCAGGGGCCAGTCAGCTCCCATAGATAAACTGCAGATTAACGCTTGAGTAAGTTCAGTGGGAGTGGAAAGAAACACATACCACTTCCTCCTCATCCTCCTCTTCAGAGGGAACTCGAGGCTTTGGTGATTTAAGAGATGCTGTTTTGAAGAAGTCATCGTCCTCAAAGAGCCTGGAAGATAAAGAACAAGCAGTTCACTTGCAGAATATGGGATCTTGGTTTCCTTTTGTGTGTTTTATTAAGAATGATATCAAAGACTCAACACCCAGACCATCTCTGCTTCATGTTTTAAGGTACAGAGCACTCACCAGTGCAGAACAGTTCAGTGATGGGACATGGCAGTCACCAGTAACAGATCCCAGAGGAACTGTACATTCCTCTCCGGGCTCAGCTGGCAACCATTCACATCAGACACCATTACCACCACCTCCACCCAGATGTGAGCAACTGCCTCTCAGCAGTGTGCCCTGGACAACTTGAACTCTGCCAGAGGCTGTCAGTGCATCCAAGACCAGCACCAGATGGCTCCTCAACCCCACACGTGTTGTCCTGTGCTGTAGCACAGCTGTACCAACCACTGGTGCGTTGCTGTTGTGCCAGCCCATCAGCAGGAAGATGGGACTGCAGCTACCCCTGCACTTATACCTTACCTGGAACCCTTTTGGCTGGGGCTGGAGCCCAGTTCCTTCTGCTGTGGGACTTCTCTGATGGTAGGTGAGCTCTTCTCTTCTGTGTTGGATACTGAAGCAGGCTCCTGGTCAGAACCAGCTCCATCTGATGGGTCTGTGCAGTTTTCTCCCTCACTACTTAAGGGAGGAGGCTCTAAGCCTCCCACAGGCTCCTCTGCCTCCTGTTCTGCTGCTGGTTTGTCTGCAAGCACAGCCACATCCATTTCTTCTGGCTTGGTTTCTAGAAAAGAAGGATCTGCAGCTTCTGCCTGCAAAGATACTCCAAAGGGACTGTGTTCAGTCTCTGCTTTCTTTATGGGGCTGCTCTCCTGCTTTTGCTCAGCCAGAACAAAATCCTCATCCACCTTGGGAATGGCCTGTTCTGCAAGCTCAGGCCCCTTATCAGCATTCAAGCAGTGTTCAGCTCCAGAAGAGAGAGATTCCTGCTGGACCTCCTCCTCTTCCAGCACTCCACTGCTCTGTGGAGCTTGCTCCTCCTCAGGCATTCTGACCTCGGCAGCAGGAGGTGCAGCTTCACCTTTGTGGACAGACAATGTGCTCACTTCGCTGGGATCAGCAGAGCACACAGCACCCAGGGCAGGGCTGTGCTGCACGAGCTCCTCCTGGTCTGTCTTTGCTCCAAGCGATCCCTCTGGTCTCCCCACTCCAGATTCCTCCTCCTTTTTACTGTCATGCTCGGGTCTCTCCTGCTGCTTGCTGAGTAGCTGCAGTGTTACAGTCTAAGAAATAAAGAGAATGTAGGTTACATCCAAGACAAACCTTCACAGGTCTCTATGTTGTCCCACTACTGGGCTGCTTTGCTACCCACAGTTCATGTCTGCCTCACAGTTATTTCATACTCCTTACACTCTGTTTCAGTGCAGGCCTTAATCTCACATTTATTACATTCTATCTCTTATTGCTACTGTACCTTGATTGTGTTCATGACAACACCTAGAACCATCCTGCCACTGTATGTCTCCTCCAGCTCAAATTCACCCCGAAGAGACTGAAATACCCCATTCATTATCTTCTTTACCTGGAAAAGAGCAAGACAGGAAGCAGACAATTCATTAACATCTGAAGCACAGGACAAAAGATAAAAGGTACTTCCCTGGGCAAAGGAGCAATAAACCCAAACACACACACACGCTGACTCAAAGAACTTACTGCTTTTCAAATCAGGAATTCTGATAACAAAGTAGAATACATCGTGTCATTTTAATTCAGAACTATTTTACACACCAAACCCATTCCTCCAAAACTGAGGCAGGCTGCACAGACCCAAGGCAGAAACACTGCTATGTTTTCAAGTTTTAAGTCTAGGCTTCCTTTGCTCCTTGACAGGTCCTATTACCAAAACCATAGTGCTTTCATAGAGAAAATAAATCCAAAGGAAAGGGGTGAAGAGAAACACTGGCTATTCAAGCTCACTTCTTCTGTGAAGTTCACAGGTGAAGATCTGTAGTCCTGATTCTTCTCCAGCTTTTGGATACATTCTTCATAGTGGGCCTTCAGTATCACCATTTCAGACTGCAAGGCTGAATACTGCCAAAGAGAAAAGAGAAGTTACAACAATTGTAGTGCTATCTGTGGAACTAAGTTTGCAACGCTGTTGGTTTTTTTTGTTTGTTTTGTTTTTTTAAGTAAAGGGCAAATTGCCAATTGATAAACAAGGCAAGGACCAGGCCTCATCACTGAGCCTGATCTGGTTCACTGGAAGCAACATGATTCTTTCTTCACTCTCACATTCCTGAACTCATGTTCTTGTTCTGGACACAGGTGGCCTGAGGCAAATCATTACTGCACTACAGTTTGTATTCAGCTGCTGTGTTATCCTCCTTACCTTTTCTTTGATAGGCTCCAGTTGTTCCAAATGTTGCTGAAGCTCAGACAATTTTTGTTCCTCTGCTTTTTTCAACTGTTTCAGAGCTACCAGCTGAAAGACAAGGACCATCAGTTTACAGTCCTGTTCAATGTCACCCAGCTCAAAACTATTTCTGCTCAAAAACAGTAATTGAGATAGAACTGTATAGAAATTGTGGCTGTTGCTTTAGCCTATCAATGCTGACATCATTTTGGCTCTAGCTCATTCAGGAGCTGCAACAGCAAGCTCATTAGCCCACTAAGCCAGCATAAGAGATGCACACAACATCTTGCAGACTAGGTCAAATTCCTCAGACAACCAAGAGGTTAAAAGTCCAACCACTATCAGGGAGCAGAGGACTTAGTTACAGTCATCAATTATTTGGAATTATACTTCAGCAATAAGGAACAGTCCTTTACCTTCTCTTCCAGGTGGGACACCTGCTGCTGCAGGGAGTCTCTCTGCTCACACACTTCCTGGTACTGCCTAACATGCTGCTCCTTGGCAGAGGCCAGCGTCCGTTCACATTTGGCTTCCCACTGGGATTCCA